AACTGCGTCATTCCTGAATGCAGGCATTTGGACTCGAGTATTGTGACGATATCGGCCTTGGTGGTGTCATCTGCAGATTTCTGGGGGTGTTCTAAAGGTCCTGGTAACGAAAGACTCATGGGGAATAGACCCCCAAACATGGACCCTCGACTTTTATCCCTGAAACTAAACTTCCTAAACTTCCTAATAAGGACCAAGAAAAGCAACTACCACATAGGGGCTCTAGGAGGTGTGAATGGGGTTTGTACGGCTTGAGCCGCCTTTTTCGGGGTAAGGATTTTGGCTCTACCTATATTGGCTTAACCATTTTATATTGAGGATCCCATAAGGTCACCCCCAAAAGGAACTACAATGGCGACTCTATGTAGGTGTTTACGGCCTCGGGGTAGAAGAATCTGGACACTAAAGCCATCAACCCGACAGTTGATTCAGCTCGCGATCTTAGCTTCTGGGTAAGGTTCTCGTAAGACCCAGCCAAGAGACTTGGATCGAAATCACAGAATGTTGAAAAAAGCTTTAACCAAAATCACAGAATTTTGAAACTTGCTTAACACTGATCCCTGAACCCTAGAGGATATCCGGGCGCAGCGGCTTGATAGGTTTAGGATTCGGGGTTGCAGGGTTCTGGCTTATGGCCATGGAGTCTGTGGTAAAGTGCAAGGTTTAGGGTTTAGGAGGAGGGTTTTGCGGCGTAGCGCCGACAACCGAAAACCTTGGCTCTCTTAGGATGCGAAATGCCAGTTTTCTACATGACAGACACGGGCCGTTTCGAGCTTCCAGTATGGCATCCTCAGCACGGGAATCCAGCCACTCCAACGCCGCACAGGGTCCCTTACTTGGAGGGGCAGGGGACTTAGTAAGTAGGTGATAAGTAGGGTTATAATTGGGGTAACTCTATTTGGGGTACGTATAACTCTACTTATAACCTACTTACTAAGTCCCCTGCCCCTCCAAGCAGACCCTAAACCATAAACTCCATAGATCCCTTTAAGGAACCCTATAGATCCCTTTAAGGAGCCCTTTAAGAACACTTACTAAGTCCCCTGCCCTTCCAAGTAACCCTTATGACAAACCCGGCCCTGAAAAGTAGGGGCCGCCAGGAATCCTGCAGTACCCATAATAGGGTTTAGGGTTTAGGGTTTATGCCAGATTTTCCATAGAGGGTCCTTAAGGTAATGCAGGATTTAAATCATCAACACGATTATGTGGCCATTGAACCTCAACCCCCGTTGAAGGCTCGTTTAAGCCACACTAAACTGCCAGGACCGTGATTCAAGGACTGGGTAATATTGGGACCTTACAAGTTCGAATAGGGTTTTCGGGCATACTATATTATATTATGACTGTATTCAAGACTTTCAAGAAGCCCACAAAATAGTACAGGTAATTGTTAAGGCCCCTTTGCAGATACCGTATAGGAAGCTCTTCGAGTCGGGCCAGAGAGAAATAGCCTTGCTTTGAAGGTAAAAGTGAGCAAAGTCCTGCAGCACTTAGGACAGCGAGCTTTGCATTGGGATTTTGCCTCCCTCTTACGTGAACAAGCTTCCTCACTCGTTGTCGAGCTCTGCACGCCATAGGCACCGAAATATTTCCCTGGAACAGCTGTACATACAGCCTTCATACACATCTTTAAAAAATCCGACGCCCCGCACCCTAAACAGCGATTCCCCTAAACCCCAGCACTCGAGCAAGTCCCTAAAGCACTGAACAGCAGTAAACTTCTACAAACACTTCTGAAACATATTCACATACAGTCAGCTGACAAAACCCTGAGGCTTGGGTCCATGTACCCATGTAGCATATAATTCGGGCCCAGTGTACCTATATAGGGAATACCTTAAGGCCAATGTATATACTATATGAGTACATGGACCCTAAAACCGTAAACCATCCTAAACCCCTATAGCACCCTTATAGTAGACCCTCAAAGGAACCCTTAAAGGAACCCTAGATGAGCACATGGACCCTCAGGAAAACCAAGGAATCAGGAACTTCGCCCTGACCCGAATCCCTACTCCCGAAACCCGTAAACCCTGAAAATCTAAAAGCCCTACAACCTACAACACCTTCAACCCCGAAAGCCCCTAAAAACCCTATAGACCCAAATGCTCAGGAACTCTGCTCTGTTGCGGCCCCTTGTGGGTGAGACGCGCGCCCCTGGTGACCCACCGGCCGGCTTTGGGGCTCAAAGCAAATTAGTGGAATGCAGACCCCTGAACTAGGGTTTTCTAGAGAGTCGGGAGAGTAGAATTTATCCATCATCGATGCCTGGTATACACTTAGGCCTTGAAGTGTCGACACTGAGCCCCAGAATCCTAAACCCTGAAACTGCAAGGTTTTAGGGCTGAGGGTGATTCGGGTTTAAGGTTCATAGGATGCCCAGTGAACTAGGAATAAACAGGGCTCCCCCTTTGGTATACTTTGTAAGGAACCTAGGACTACAAAAAGGGAATAAGGGTACTACTGGGCATACTGGTGAGGGTTCCTAGCCCCAAGGGTCCAAGTACAAAATTCCCAGAACCTACATAACTACTGCTAAAACCGAGGGTTTAGGGTTAAGGGTGGGCATCAGATATCAAGGCAAGGCAGCTGAGGAAAAGGGGTGCATCCATCAGGTGTCTGCATTAGGAACCTGATATCGCAACTCATGTGCGGATGTGCACGGCATTGGACGTGCTGTGCTCTGTACGGAGGCACTGTGGATTACTCCGGAAAGGTCCAAGTGACCGTGTTGATGGCAAAACCATCCATGAGCTGAAGTACTCCCAAAATATGCAAAAGATGCTGTCTGCAGTCCCTCTCATGGATGGTGACCCTGACATCCCTTGAACACTAGCTATAGAGACTCTACAGCAACAACCAGCCAAAATCCTGGTTATGAAGAATGCAGCCATTCGTCCACAAGCAGTAAAGTCAGTACAAGCCTCGAGGAGCACAATGTACAGTCTTAAACCCGGAGTACATGGCATCGAAAGTTGGCTGCCGCATCCCTTAGTAACCCAGGCCGACAGCGAAAGTCTTACATGTCGAAAGCCGCAAACACCTAACACCACACCCACGTACTTGCTATGAATTCCTGAACGAAGGTCTGCAGAAGCACCGCATAGACATGCGTTTCGGTAGAAGCCCAATTACCCGCGTCAATGTATCAGTGGGTAAGTGGACATTATGAAGCCGATTAAGAACAATAGAACCATAAAACAAGCTCAAGTCTAGTGACCTACCTTGTAAGCAACACTACAACTCCTGCCACTACCACTACCGCTACCGCTACTGCTGCTACTGCTACTGCTACTGCTACTGCTACTACTACTACTGCTACTACTACTGCTACTACTACTACTACTACTACTACTACTACTACGACGGTTGATGATATAAATTACGGTTGATGATATAAATCCTGCATTACCTTAAGGACCCTAAACTATGGGAATTATGGTATATTCGAGCCCTTTTCTCACATCCCGAAGGCAATCACTCCGGTAGTCAGCGCCGCTGCAGGAGGTTTGGGTTTTTTTCGGGTTTCCTTGCGTGTAGGGACAAAAGAGGTGCCGGACAATGTGCACTTGGACCATTCTGTGCGAGCTTCTGTGCAAGAGGCTACTCAACGACAGTTATAGGGGAGCCTTACTCAGTTGAAATAGGGTTTGGGGGACCATTGCCATATTTACGTAGCTACTACATAACATTGCCATGAGGATCCAAAAGGAATGCTAACTAGCTAACAGGGTTAAGGATAGTACATTTACACAGCTTCCTTTTTCGAAGAAAGGGTGAAGACACCTTCAAGACTCTGGACCGTGCACCCTTATGGGTAGGCCCAGAACCTAAAACCATAAACCTTATATGGGTGGTTTTCAAAATTATGGTCCTTTTGGGGGTCCTTATCACACGGCACCTCATGTTTGGGGTACCCAAAAAGGGACCATAATTTTTTGAGAACTACCCACATGATGCACCAAAACCGCATGCCTCACGCAACGATGCCACCTAGTGAATACCAGAGACTCCTAGCTACCGTGAATCCCAAGAGTCATTCATCATAATAGAATAGGTTAGAAGCTGCCCCCACCCTGTAATAGTGACTAGAAGGATTATATTAGGGCCCTAATATATTCCTATTATACCACTAGTGCAGGGTGGGGGCCGTACGTAAAGAATAGGGTTCCTTCAAAAGGTTTCGTTGAGGGTTTTATAAGGGGAAAAGGGGAATATGTGTGGGAAAAGTATACGTGCCAAAATAATAGAATGTGGTTTCGGGAGAATGGGGTATTTTGGGGCAGAAGAATAAGGACCCCCTAAGGAATAGTATGAGTTATTACTCCGGCAGCTATAGGTAAGGCTTCTATATTTCTATGGTTTTGGGTCGGGGATTCATGGGCCGGTGGTTTAAGGTTTGGGGTTAGGGTTATATATGGTGTTAGGGTTCAAAGTCTAGGGCTTCGGGGTTAAGCCGTAGGAGTGGGGCTTTACCGTTTAGTTAGGAGTATATCTTGTTTCCAGAGGTGTCCAGAACAAAAATAATGATATTGCCTAAGCATAAGACGGTCATTGATGTCCTAATTCCATAATGGTCGTAACGTATATATGTAACCCTAATCCCGAATCCATAAACCCTGAAGCCCGGATGAGCATGGCTTATCAAACAGAATTCAATAAGCTCTTTACCCGAAACCCAAATCCCTAAACGCTGATTAATACCTGTAGCCCCAAACCCCATAAATAGCAGCTTATGATCCTTCAACTCTAGGGTAGAACCCTTAAAAAACTCGAGGTGTTTGGATCCAAGGTATGACAAGTCCTCGAAGCTCCTTTAACAGAAGAGACTATTAGCCCAGGGATCTCGGGGTCGCTGGCTGCGATGGTCCCTGACTTTGGGTGCCTTATCGTGGTGCCCATGACTCATATCCCTTTAGGGTTTAGGGTTTAGGAGTTTGGGGGTTGCGGGATAAAGGTACTAAGAGTGAGGGTGGGGATTTCCGAGTCGCTGGCAAGCCTCACACGCAGGATGCCTGCCGTAGCATCCTGGCAATGCAAGGCTACGGGTGGTTGTCAAAATTATGGTCCCTTTTTGGGTCCTGATTATAATACGGCACCTATTATTTAGGGTACCCACCAAGGGACCCTAATTTTGACAACTGCCCATACGTATGTAAGTAATTAGAATGTAGGAAGACCTTAAACATACTTCGCGTGAGGGTCCCACGGAGCGGAAAACCATGTGCTTGGGTTTAGGATACACGACGGCTCCAGGGCTTTTGGGCCCAACGAGAATGCTGTCTAAGGTTTTTGGGCTATTTTGAGCCTCAGGGATCTAGGTCATTGGGCGTTTGGCCCCCAAAGATAACACTATGATGTGGTACACTATGTAAGGCTTTTGGGCCAATTGTGGAGCCTCAGGGACAGTAGTTTTCTATACTAGGTATTTGGGCTTTGGGACCTACTTACTAGCCACGGAAGTGGAAACAGAAACTTTCAGAAGCGTGCTACCGTTGTACAATATGAGCACCAAAAAACAGCTTAAGGGCTGGGTATTGCAGAAAAGGAGCAAAGGATACCGAGAAGCGTTCTCCCGGAGAGCCCAATACCCCTTAGTTGACGAATATACCTTAGGTTGGACATGGTCTCGTAGTATGGCTTGAGGCACAAACCTCTACACAGGGTATTTTGATGGGAGGCCAAAAGGGTGGTTTAAGATTCTGTGGGTAGGGGTTCCTTAATATGAACCCTATTATGGGAACCCTAATCCCTACTAAACCCCCATAGGCTAAAACCCCTTTTGGCCTCCTATGACCTTAAGCCGAGACTCTGTACACTTAGCCTGGGTTTAGGGTTTAGGGTTTGAGCTTTAGGGTTTAGGGGTTCAGGGTTTAGCTGCGGCCAAAGTGTCCAGGAGCTGCAACAGTGCCGTGCAGCGGCGTTGCCCTGCAAGCGGGGCTCTTGAACAACAAATGCTTGCTTTGACAAATCGAACAAGGCTTTTCGGTGAGTATCTACCCATAGGCTCCATAGTAGTTCATTTTTGGGATCACCTTATAGGATTCTAAATATGATCCCCACCCCAAAAAGGAACTACTATGGAGCCTCTAGGTACTGATAATAACTAAGGGGTCCTTTTTTTGGGATCTTGACTGTAAGGACCCTATTTTCAAGGGTACTATATTAGGGTCCCCCGTATTCGGAAACTCCCATGTAATGATGATAACTATCTCAAGGACCCCGAAGGACTAGTACTAATTCCTAGGCAACACTTCCGACTCCACACCTGTCGGTTACTTGGAGGGTCGGAAGACTTAGTAAGTAGACTTATAAGTGCCCTAAGTGGGATCTTCATTGGGGTTATGGTACCTATACATAACTCTACAAAACAACCATATACTAAGTCCCCCGACCCTCCAAGTAGGGGTTGAGGGGTTTCGGCTTTGGGGCTCAGGCGTTGTTATCAGGCTGCAGAGTGTAGGTTAGAGGATTAGGGTATGGTCGGCCGCTATACGGTCGTGGTAAGGTTGGGTAGGGTTCGGCAGCGTATTAAGATGCTACGTTTGGGGCCCCGACAGAGCAGGACGTAAAACCTACCTCGAGCAAGCAAGGCCGGTGGAATGAGTGTCGACTGTTCCTTGCGCCTAGGATACCATCATGTACTTGCCAAAAGATATTGAATCGCAAAGGCTGATCGCTGTACCCGATTGCTGACTAGGGATATCGCTCTGAATTCTTGAGAGCTAAGCCTTTGACAGTTCTATATACCACTGGAAAATATGAAGGTCACCTACCGAGCTCTATGTAAACTTCAAGCACACACAATGTAACGGCCTGAATAATTAGAATAAGCTTTGTGGGCCCGGTATACTATAACTATGTAAGGAACCCCCAAAATAGTATAGGTAATTGTTGAGGCCCCTATAGTACGCTGCCTCCAGGGCTGTGTGCTCGACCACCCCATTGTCCTTCGACAGCGGCAGTACCCAGTGAGCCCAATATCAACTAGTTGAGGGTTTAGGGCTCAGGCTTTGGGGTTTAGGGTTTTGTTGATTTGGTTAGGGCTTAGGGCTTATGGCTTATAGTTAGGGTTACGTTTAAGGAATTAGTAGATTCCTTGAGTAACGTGTACGTGACTGTAGATGCGTGTGTATGTATATTTATATGTCGAGGTCTATGTCTATGTAGATGCATGCACTCTCTCACGACACATTATTAGGTCATGTCATATCAGATCATATCACAGCATGGTGTGTTACTCTACATTCTACTACATTATATTACACTAGAAGCCTATGTTGCATAATAGTCATTGATACTGTGCTCTACTGTAGCATGTTACATTCATATTGCACTACTCTACACTGCCCTGAACCGCGTTCACTTATGCGACATCATGATAAGACCACATGCTTTACTCTATCATTGTCTCCTCCATATTTATGTATGTATGCATGTATGTATGTGCCAGCATTCTCGCCCCACTCCCCCCCCAGCTCACAGACGAAGCATCGCAAACCCCAAAGCCCCCCACTCCGCCCACCCCCACCCCCCCGGCAACAAAAAAGAACCTCACTTTTGGCTGAGAGAATGAACGGAAATCCTCGCAAATACACAGAAGTTCCAAACTCTAAACCCAAAGACTGTAACCGTATGTATAGGGCCCAAACGACTCTGTCTACTGATCGATCCGAAGGGAGAAATCCGCAGGTATGTAGTACCAAAAATGGCGGCCAGTCTGTCGGTTTTGGGGCTACGGGAACCCTAAACCCCAAAGCGAATACTTTAGAGAGCCCGTCAAGCCATGTAGCCCAACGGCTCCATGTACCTCAAAAGTAGGTACTCAGGCCTTAAAGGGGTCCCTATATATGTACTTTAAGGCCTATGTATGGAGCCTTGGGATTAATCCCAAGGGCTCAAAGTTGCCGTGTCCTACAAAACCCAGGCTAGAAATCCTACAACCCGAACCCCTTAAACGCTAAAGCGCTTACAAGCCCGAAACCCCCTCCTCTGAGAAGAACTGTCCGAGCTCCTCCTGGAAGCGGAAAGTTGCTGTCGGGGTTTCAGGACGAGGGTTCAACAAGGGCTTTAGGGTTTAGGGCTTAGGGGTTTAGGGTTTAGGGGTAGGATGCAATATTTAAATCCTAGTCCCTGAACTCTAAACAAAGGATTGAGGCTTGAGAGTTTAGGGTTTAAGAAGACCGGATATTTACACCACAGGTTTTCGATTGTTTCCGCATTAGCATTACTATACCCCCTTAGAACCATCACAATTGTAATATGTTTCATGTTCTCTTAGGTTTTGGATGAACAAAAATTGTCAAAAAAACACTCCTAAGGAGACTATAGGTTAAGCGTTCCCAGGAGCATTGAAGGCTAGTGTTCCTCGTTAGTATGGACACTTTGTGCTCCAGGGTGTAGGATCTAGGCTTGCGACATAAAGTTTAGCATTTAGACTTCGAGCTTTTATGTAATTTTGGGCTTACGATTCAGGGCTGCGGAGAGCGGGCTTAGGATTGCGGGGGCTCGGGCTTTCGATAACATCCATCAAAGCAAAACAGCATGCAGATACAAGCATGCTGTATAGATAGGCACGCGAGGTCGCCTAGGTTTGCAAAGCCAGCATCCGACTCTTGAAGTGTTTGAGCCCGTCCGTGCGGACACATCCGATGCTAACCATGGCTTCCACCTTCTCGCTGTGATCATTGCAAGCATCGGTTGTCGTCGCATCGTCAGCCTCCATCGCATGGCGCATGCCGATTCGAGAACGAACCTTTTCGATATATATATATATATATATATATATATATATATATATATATATATATACTCGTATGTCTTGTGGGCGTGGCCCTCAATGGTAACGGAATCACTCGTGGGTTTGGCAATACCGCATTATGGCTACAACATGGTGGAATAGGGCATGGCATGCATGCGATGCTGAGGATGGACGAGACATTGCAAATACCCTGCACCGCTCTTTGTTCATGCCAGATTCTGTCTATCAGCCGTACTTCCTTATCGATGCCCGTATCACGCTGGTCGATGGCTAAGCTCGGTTGAACCGGCGTCCACGTCTCTTTCCCCCGGAGAATCCGAAATCCTACGTAAGCAGACAAAGGTACAATCGTTGTAGGGCCCATGCAATATCTATAGTAGAAGCCAGAAAGTTGGAACATAAATTGCCCTCATACCCTGAAGGTAAGGTATAGAGGATCCCAGCATGAATCATCCCACATCCATGTTCCAACTTTCTGGGGTTCACTATAGAGAGCCCTACTAGTAACTACACACACACCAGCCCCCGTCCTGCTTGGACTAAACCCTACTTGGAGGGTCGGGGGTACCCTAAAAGGGACCCTAATTGGGGTTATGGTACTTATAAGTCTTTAAAATAACCAGTTACTAATCCCCCGACCTCCAGGTAAATCCCCAAAAACCCAAGCCACCAAACCCAGAGCCGTGGCTTGAACTCCAAACCCCAAACCCCCAGCCTAGCGCCCAACGCCCTCATTAAAGTAAACCCGAAACCCCGAGCCACAAATCCTGGACCTAAGAACCCTAAACGTTATGCCCGAAACCCACATCCCTTACCGCTGAATCCAAAACCATCTAAAGCCCAAACTTTTTCAGCTAGAAGCCCTCCCCCAAAACCCGTAGACCCTAAACCCAAAACCATCCGAACTTTCTTGCACGAATCTCTCAACCCTAAGTCCAAAACCGTCTACACCCCAAAGCCCTTTCAGCCCGAAGCCTTCTGAACCTCCAAGCCCTAAACCCTAAACCCCAAACAACCTACTTTTTTCAGGACTTACATAAGGAAAACATAATAAGGAGCCAAACAATGTAGGTTTCTTAGGGTCGACGTAAACCCTAAACCGTAAGTATTCCTTAATTAAAGGATATTGAAGACCTCCGGCGTCCTGCTTCGAGATGTCCAGAAGGGATTCCTCGGCTTCGGTCGCCCCAACCACCGCGGGGACCTTCCGAGACTCCGGTTGCTGTTGCTTAAGGGATCCTTTAAGGGTTCCTTCGACGGTTACCATAAAGGGTTCTACAAGGGCTCTGTAGGGTTTAGGGTTTAAGGGTCCATGTACTCAAATCTTTAGTAAACTCTTTTGATTTACATGTTCTTGAAGGTGTAAGATCACCTGTAGTCAGGCATGCCATAACTACTGTGTTAGTAAACGCTTCGTTTGGGAAATTTCGAAGGTTTAGGATCATGTACAGGTTACCAGAACGGTTCCCTTGAGTTAAGGGTCCTGACGCTCTTGGGGCCCTGCGAACGAGGAGTTCCATGTATCCCTAAACCCTACACCCGAGGAGTGCGGAGACCTCGGAGAGAGCTAGGGGGGTCTCTCTTTACGAGGTTCCGGACCTTCCCGACAACAAGGGTACCTTATGTTGGGGTCCTTATGATAAGGTTCCTACTATTTAGGCTACTGCAAAAGGGTCCCCTATTGCCCAAAAAGATCGCTACGATCCTTAGGGGGACACTCCGGGAGAGTCTCGTTGCTGCTTTGCTGCTTTAATACGGTTGATAATATAAGCCCTGCATTACCTTAAAGACATTAAACTATGGGAATTATGGTATATTCCTTATCATGGGAAATGCAGGATTTACAGCATCAACCGTATGAGGGTTTAGGTAGGGGTTAGGGCTCAGGGCCCTAACGGCGCGGACGCCCAATGCACGGCAAGCCTGTGCCTAAAGCCTCCAAGTACCCAGTGCCGAAAGGTTCCTGCCTTGAGGACGAAACCCTTACCCTAAGGGTCCATGTACTCATATAGTATATACATTGGCCTTAAAGTACTCCCGATATAGGTACATTGGGCCCAAAGTATATGCTATATGGGTACATGGACCCTTAGGGTTAGAGAGAGAGGGAGACAGAGAGACCTAAGGCCTCGAACCCGAACATACTGGAGCCCCAAGCCCTTCTAAGTTGAAGCTCCTCGAAAACCCTGGAAACTTATGACGCACCACAAAGCCCTGTAATGGAACTCCTGTAGACCCTTGTAGAGCCCTAAACCCTTAAATCTTCGAGAACCCTTATGTAAAGAAGCCTGACACGCACCCCTTACGGAAACCCTGAAATTATTAAAGGAAGGAAGGCTCAAAGGGTGTTCCATGTCTCCTCAGCGGAGCCTTAAAGGCACCCTTACGTAAACCTGTTGAGGAAATCTTAAAGGAGTGCTTAAGGGAACCCTTGCAGGAGCCCTTATACTAGTAGTGTATATGGAGCCTTCTACCCTACAATGTATGGTACGATTCAAGGAATTCTGAAAGGAACGCTTCAAGGGGTTTCCACGTCTCTGGGCAAAGCTGGTGCCTTGGGGACGACGCCGGAAATCTCCAGCGGCTCCACTGGGACCGGGTTGAAAAGATCCTTTTCGGGTTCCCAAAGTATGCTTGATGATATAGATCCTGCATTCGCCATAATGAGGAATATACTATAGCTTTCTTAGATTAGGGTCATTAAGGCAGTGCGGGATTTGCATCATCAACCGGATGTTTAGGTTTAGGTTTGATCGGATTCCCGGATCAGGGTCCGGGATAGGAAGTAAGCGCGAAAAGCTCGTTTCTGACGTCTCCATCTTCGGAAAAATCACGAAGCAAATGAAGGCATAGACGGCCAACATGTCGCAATGTGCACCTGAAGCATGTTCGGCTTCTGAATGTACCCTAGGGCCCCAAAGTAGTTCCTTTTTGGGATTACCTTATAGAAGTCTATATATGAACCCCAAAAAGGAACTACTTTGGGGCCTTTGGGTGAACTGTAATTTAAGCTTCAGAGTTTTCAGGGCTTGACCCTTAGGGTCCAAGTACCCTAGTAATGGGGAAGCTTAGCAATATTTGGGATCTAAAGCTAGGTAGTCGACAAGTACAATTCATAATGATCAGAAAGCCTGTGTCCGGCCCACAACTCTACACCCCGAGCCCTACCTATGCGGTATCTGCCTTAATTACGCAGACCCCCCGGGAAGATCTAACAAGTAGATCCGCTAATTTGGCACCTTATACCTTTCTGGGTTACTTGTAACAACCCCCTTGCTGGAGTATATCCGAATCTACATAACTCTATATGTGGGCTTCTTACAAAAGCAACGATAATTGGATACAGATTACTCACCCTCTACATGACCCAAATCAAATTAAAGCAGTGCTGGGTTTCAACTCTTACGGCATGCGCTAGACGGAAACCCTTCTCCAAAAAATACAAACCCCCTCAAGGGTGCTGTGTTGAAACCCTACAAGACTCCAAGGGTAAAAGGAGGGACCCTTAATAAGGACCCCTAGGTTATATGCCCTGAATATATAGTTATTATGTACCCATTATTTAGCCCATGGTAGGGCAGGGGTCCCCATTAAGGGTCCCTCCTATTCCCCTTTGAAACACAGAACCCCAAACTTCCAACTGGCTGCAAGAGGCCTGAACCCTAATATGAACCCTGTTACGGGAACCCTAATCCCTACTAAACCCCCATAGGCTAAAACCCCTTTTGGCTTCCTATGACAGAAAAACACGAGCAAACTTCAGCGTATGGTCCTCCTCTTCCTCCGCCTTTGGCGGAGGTGTAAAGTGTGGCAGCTTCCTCAGTTCTGCAGTAAAGCTTCCAGGCAGTTTTGGGGTTTAGAGATAGGGGGCTTTCCCGTCCGAAAGACCAATATTCAGGTGCGTGCATTCGGGGTAATGCGTTTGCAGTTATATAATGTTCCGGAAAGCATGTCAAGGTTAGGTACTTGGCCTTCAGCCCTGAACCCTGAAACCCTAAACCCTGCCTAAACCCTTAAGCCCTGAACCCTAAAACCCCTTACAGGAACCGTTAAAGGAGCCCTTAAAGGGAACTCTCAGAGCAGAGACTCTTACAGGAACCCCTCTAGACATACAGTAACCGTTAAAGGAACCGTTAAAGGAGCCCTCAAAGGGAACCAGCCGTGCGTCTCCGTCATTGGCGGTAGCTCCACATCTTCAGGGTTCTCCACCTGCACGAGAAGAAGGCACTTAAAGGGTTAATCTGAGGTCGTTAAGAATTAGAATGGGGTTATGGTGACATCTATAGTAAAAACTATCATAAGGAACCCTAAGGAATAATGTTGATAATTTTCCGGCAACAAAGGGACAGAACAGAGGTTCATAAGCTCTTATAAAGGGTTTCATTGCATGGCTTTTAGCTCAAACCGTTCTACGAGCCCATGATTCATCAAGGATCCGTCCAACAAAGCTTGCTGGTATCTTTGGGTGGACGGGTAGATGCTTCTTGTAGGGTTCTGAGATGTGGCCAGACGCAAGAACCCTCCACATCATGGCACATGCCTGAGACGACCCAATAGTCAGCGAAAGCGCAAGCTTCACCTTCAACTGTGCGTGGGGAGACGCCATCAACGGGCGCTGTCAGCTTTTCGTGAGCGAACTTTCTTCTCCGTTTTCTTCAGCCACCACTCCCACGACATATTAAACCTGCGGAACCGCCAAGGCGGCAGGAGGCCCCAGATCGGAAAGTTGTAGAGCGCGCCCGCCTGCTCAACAGCTTGAGCTGCAAAGCTCTACCACAAGATAGCCCAAGGCCAAGGCCAGCAGCAATTGCAGAGCCTGGAAAGCCTGAGTTAAACACCACAAGACGCACGCGGCTCCACTCGGCAGGTGCTTTGAACTCATTCGGGTCCAGCTTGGCTTCGCGCAATGACATCCCTTGCTGCTCGGAGGCAAGCAAGGGGGACCTGCGACTGGGTGCACCCTGTCGGAGCACCCACCTGTGGAGGAAATCGAGAGGCCGAGCGTGTCCTTTGCGCCATGCCAGCAGTGCCGCCCTCTCAGGCTTCTGCCCTTTTTCGAAAAAACTTGATGCTAAAGCTTGTGGGGCTGTTTATTGCTGATTAGAACGCATAGGGTGCCCAGGGTTTAAGTTTTCGGACTTCGAAACCCTAAACCCTCAATAGGGCTTACGGTCTTGCGCCAATAGGCAGGGTTCGTGATAATACTTGGGGGTAAAACATACTCTATAACCCGGTTCTATCTATTCAATCCGTTAAGGCCTATATATGGGTATGGGTCTATTTGTTAGCTCTCTTGACTCAGTAGTATCCGTCTAGTACCTAGTCAAAAGGTCCAAGCAGGCTTCGGTGTTGCGGCTCATCGGGATTGCAGAGACATCTGAACCCTTCCGAACCTTCCAGGACCCCCCGATGGCCCTTTAATAGAGCCCTTATGATCCTTGTTAGTGGGTTTTTGGGGTATAATAGAGGGCAGCCGGGGGTCTAAGTTGCCTCCTAAAGTTGAATTGCGGGGATTTAGGACCCGAAGCACTGAAGGGCCCTCCATCCCCCCCGCACCAGCATCACGCTCTGCGTGAAGTGGACAGCAAAGCGGGCAGCATAGCTCTTCGGCGGAATCGTAGCTTTGTTCCTTGGCTCTGCCCGACACTCTAAAACCCTGAAACCTGAACGCCCTGCGGGAGATTCAGAAAATGCGGCAGAATACTAAAGGACCGCCAAAATCTGAGATCTTATGACTGAAACCCCCACCCCGGGTTCGGGAGTTAGATTTAGGTTCTGCATGGATGCTCTGTTCGCCTGTTCACCTGGTACGTGGGCTTACCGGATGGGTTATGACACCCGTGCAGGTTATTGCTGCAGATGCTAACGGACTTACAGAGCTAGAGCACAAAAGCCTCCAAGTAAACCCTATCTCAAAACCTAAGGTCTTTTGAATCCCGAATTTCCAAAATCCAAAAGCCATGAATCCTACCGTACGACAACTATCAAACCAGCTTGCAAGACGGTTCATGGTTCACGGTTTTGCTTTGTCTCAGGGTGAAGGGATTAGGCTGTGGGTTGTGAGGTCGGATGTAGAGCTACGGGTCCAGGGGTTTGGTAACTCTGTTTCACCCTAAGGGTCCATGTACTCATATAGTATATACATGGGCCTTGAAGTACTCCCTATATAGGTACATTGGGCCCAAGTATATGCTATATGGGTACATGGACCCTTAGGGTCAGATTACGGTTAAGATTTAAGACTGATTGTAGCCGGTCGGGCTACGATATTTTCGGAAGAGGAAGGTTGCAAGGCTGATACTATAGCCGTGCGTACCTGTCATGAAAAGAAGGCTTCTAATGATCCTTTGGCCTGTGCTCCTCCGAGAAACCCCAGCTGGGGCACGTTCAGGACAATTGCACTCTCAAGGCCCGCCAGGCGTCTGTTTGGAGGCATGAAGCACTACCACAATCATTGCGCAACTCGAAGCCCCAGTTGTAGCCCTCACAAATACGGATGCAAAAAACCTTCCGGAAAAAATTCAACAAAAGCTATGGGGCCTAGCTTTTCATCATAGATTGTGTTCTTCCGGAGTCCGTTTACAAGGTTTGTGTTGCCATGAACTGTATTAGCCCCTGTGAAAGAACACAAATCCCGGAAACACCCTATGAATGAAGTCCTACAACAACGTTCAGAAACTAACAAAAACCTGTATATAAAGCCTTATGAAACCGGATGAAACCTAGATCGTGCACCCTACACACTAAACCCTACACCCTCTTCCCGATTCTCCTACGGTAAATGATAAATCCTGCAGTACCCATAGGAAGGAATACACCATAATTCCCCTAGTCTAGGGTCATTAATCATTAAGGTAATGCAGGGTTTATATCATCAACCGATCATCAACCCTAAGCCCTAAATCCATCAACCTCAACCCTAAACTTTAATAGCCTCAAACACATAAACCCTAAACTTTAGGGTTTATGGGTTTGAGGCTACTAAAGTTTAGGGCCTAAACTCTCTTCCCCAATCAGCCCTACATCATCAACCGATCATCAACCATATCAACCCTAAGCCCTAAACCCATAAGCCTGAACCCTAAACTTTAAGCCTTAACCCTGGACTCTCTTCCCCAATCAGCCCCACATTGCCCAATGCTTTGCTTTTATTTGCCAAGGCTCTGCTCCAAGACTTTCAGGACCCTCGCAACTCCTTGGGCGATCTCAGGGATTATAGGATGTAGAGGGTAACCCTAAACCCAAAACCTTAATACTTCCCTAAGGGTCCAAGTACCCAAATAGTAGGGTTTCAAGGTCCAAAAACCATTCAGAGTATGGATTTTAGGACCTGAAACCCTACTGTTTGGGTACTTGGACCCTCTGGGCTTAGAGGGTTTATAGGGTTTATAGGGACATCTTGGGCAAATAAGGGTTTATAGGGTTTAGAGGGTTAGGGAGCTTTTTGGACTTCATGGTCTTATTATAGGGCTGTTAGGGGTTTAGGGTTTATAGGGTTTATAAGCTATAGGGCTTTTGGGGTTTAAGATTTCGGGGTTTAGGATGGAGAGAGCTTGCAGACGTTTTCTCTCGCGATACGACACAGGGTTTCGGGGTTTAAGTGGGTTGATAGCTTCATGGTTCAGGGTTTAAGGTTTATGGGGGCTGGCTTTCCCTGGTTTGCCGCGCTGAGGGTTTGCGAGTTGGGGGTCACCAGTGAAGCGCAAATACTACAGGGTTGGGAGGGGCAGGGGACCTAGTAAGTAGGTTATAAGTTATAAGTAGGGTTATAATTGGGGTAACTCCACTTCGGGTACTTATAACTCGACTTACAGCCTACTTTCTAAGTCCCCTGCCCCTCCAGGTAGACCCTGAACCCTAAACCCCATAGATTTCTTTAAGGAACCCTATAGATCCCTTTAATAAGGAGCCCTTTAAGAGCCCTTACTAAGTCCCCCGGGCCCCTCCAAGGTAGGGCCTTGTGGTCATGGGTTGCGCTGTCGCACGTTAAGTTTAGACCTATCCAGAACTTCCAAGATCCCTTAATGAAGGAATACCTGGGGATCCAAAAACCTACTGTTTTAAGGGTTTTATATACCATCTTCTTAAGGGGGTCTTACCCTACTACTTTGTAGGGTTTTGGGGGATACAGGTCGACCTTAAATTATAGTAGGATCCCTAATAAGATTTAACTAGGATACCCAGTAACCTAAGAATAAAAGGGCCTCTCTTTTTGGTATTGGGTAACTTTATAAGGAACCTAGGACTACAAAAAGGCAATAAGGGTACTACTGGGCATCCTAGTTAAGGTACATTCCTTACCCAAGGGGTTTGGGAAGTTCAGGGTACCCTTGCCCTGACTGACCTGCCCACTGTGCACTCTACTCTACAGGCCCCTGTGCTCTGAACTCCTTACCCATGCAGCATTATGGGAGTTTCGAAAAATTAGGGGTACCTCACTTTGGGGGTGCTTATCACAAAGATCCACCTATATAGGGTGCTATATTAGTGTCCCCTGTTTTCGGAAACTCCCATATATACAAAAGTCATGCCTAAGACCTAAGATACCGGTGAGAAGGTGAGCCAGATATGAGGGTCAAGGGCTCAGTGTCCTGAGAGTCTTGGGTGTAGTTTCAAGACCTGACAAGCACCCGGTGGTTTTCAGGTTTCAAGATCTGTACTGTGCATGGCTTCTGGTTCCCCAACTGCTACTAATCGGCTAGTCGGACACCTTTGGAGAGCTTCTCGCAAAGCAGGCGAGGGCACCCCGCAGTTGTGAGTTCTGGTGCATGCGAAAAGATGCCTTCAGCTTCTAAATGCCCAGCCCTGAAGGTGCAGGTACTAAATAATAGTGTGTAGGTTTGGGGTTTGGGTTTAGGGGCATGATACAGGCTCGAACGACTAACAAATGTCACTACTATCCCTAAGCCTTGCACCGTTACGGTAGGCTTTGCTCGGAAGTACGGGAGAGAGGTGTGCCTTTTACAAACACAAACCACAGTCGCAAAGCATCATGCGAAAATATTGATGGGGCTAAACCCAGGCCTCAACAACTTAATCTTCAACCAAAGCCGTCAACCTCGTAAACTTCTGTTCACTCAACTCTGCTTCTTATACCTACCTGGACCCCAAAGAACCTACCTTTTTAGGGTTCCCTATTATGATTTCCTTATATAAGTCCGTAGCACGGTAGGTTATTTGGGGTTAAGGTAAACCCTAAACCCCTCAACCCCAGAAGCCCTGCAACCTCAGCCCAACAACTCCGAATTAGCCTGAAAGGGCATCCCAACTTTACGAGCGAGAAGCGTTTTCCCATGGTCCACTTCTGCCTGCAGCAGTCCAAAGGCTCCATGTGCCCATATAGGTCCCCTCTTTAAGGCCTAAGTACCTACTATATGGGCACATGGAGCCTTGGGGAGTGCAGATCCAGAGCAAGCGGGAGGTTTGAACGCTTACGTTGTTAGGGGCAACGTCTGCAGCTGTTTCTGAGCTTGGGGCATAACCCTAAGGGTCCGTGTACCCATGTAGCATGTACTTTGGGCCCCATGCACCTATATAGGGAGTACTTTAAGACCAATGTATAAACTATATGAATACATGGACCCTTAGGGTAAGCTCCAAGCTCTATAAACATGAAAGCCTCCAACGACGCGGGGCCGTTAATTCTAAACTGTATAGCATTAATGACAAGAATGGCATTTCACAAGGCTTTCCGAGCTCGCACGAGGATCGCACAAGGTTGCCAGGACGTAGCTAGGAATAAGCACACGAGGCCGTCATGGTGATATTATCGTATTGCAATACGCGTAAAAGCATCTTCATTGAGGAGAAGAACTAATAACATCAAATAAAGCCAGCACGCCCATTGCCACACGGCAACCCGAATTCAGTACCAGACCCATCGCACGGGACACTGAAACAAGACCCAGAACACTGAATATTGTCTTTTGCAGGCATGGCGCAGGGAAAGACCAAGAAAACCCAGCGAGACAACAACAGCTTCGGAGATGCTTTTCTGGGCTTTGAAGTAACCAGAGAGAAAAAGAATAGACTTTTATTTCATAGTTTGTTACCTTGAAGTAACATGTCCCAAAAACTATTACGGTATGGTACTCCAAAGCCCAGTTTTGAAAAGAAGAGCGAAACCACCAAGAACTAAACACGATCGGAATGAAGTTGTTTTTATCGCTGAAGGCTCATGTAAGGCAAGGGTCCTGCACTCGACTGACTCATGAGCCGTAGTCGCCTTCCCAAACCCCTCACCCGATCTGGCAAGCACCCCTTAACCCCAAAGCCCCAACCATGACTCGATCTCGAAGTGGAGCTTGACCCTAAACCCTAAACCCTTAACACCAATGGTTTGGTGTTTGCGGCCTGCTGGCGTGCTGCGCATCATGTACCCGGGTGCATGGATGGGTGAAGGGGTACAGTGTGCGGCACAGGGTTTAGGGCTGATGTCTGCATGGATTGTATTCGATGAAGAATGTAGACACATCCGGTTGAATCTCTACACCCAGGGCACTAAGCTTCTCCTCGTCATCTGGCATCCACTTCTCAGAGCACCCTGCAAAAGTCCCAAATACACGTCCCCTCAACTCCAAAACTAAACCCTAAACCTGAAACCCTATCCATCCCTGTGCCAGACATCCACTCAAGTCTAAACTTAACCCCTAAGCCGCATTAAATCCTAAACCCGCTATCCGTCCCTGTGCTAGGCTTCGGGCAGGAAGTCGATGATGGAGATGTACACCGCTGTTGTTTGACCGCCCCTAGCGCCAGTGGGGCAGGAAAAATCGAAGGGCGGGTCGGTGCATGGATGTTACTTGAAGGCTCATGGGACTTAGTAAGTAAGGTTATATGTAGTAGGTTATAATTAGGACAACCCCACTTAGGGGGACTAATAACCCCAATTATAACCTACCTACTAAGTCCCATGATCCTCTATGTAAGTGTTCAAGGCAGCTCAAGGGTTCGAGGTTTAGTGCTTTCATGTAGACCCCTGATTAATCATCTCCTCTCCCTCAAAACGGACTGAAGTCAGGATCCTGGTGTCCGGGCAACTCACACAACGGTGGATGATATAAATCCTGCATTACATGAAGGATCCTAAACTATGGGAATTATGGTATATTCCTTACATGCAGGATTTATATCATCAACCGAAGGACGCTTCATTCATCAGCGGTCTGTATTCTGCTTTAGGGCTGAACTCTAGGATGCCCAGTAACCTAGGAATAAACAGGGCTCCTTTTTTGGTATTGGCTACCTTTATAAGGTGCCTAGGATTACAAAAAGGGAATACGGGTACTACTGGGCATCCTAGCTGAAGGTTCTCAGATTCAACGCAAAAACGGAAGGGCTCCCCTTTTTGGTATAAAGAAGGGAACCCCATGCGAGCCTTCCGGGCTGAACATACGGCCGGCCCACTCGCGGGGAGAAGCCGGGCCCGGTGCTCTCCTCCCAAGAGAGGTCCACATGGTTTAGGGTCTAAGCAAAGGGCTCGGAGCCTGAACATTTCGAACAGGGCTTATATAAGGGCCGTAATAGTTAGAATTATGGTTTGGGGGGTATATTATAGTATATGGGTGGCGATCGAAGTTAGGGTCCCTTTTTGGGTACCCTCAATACTAGGTGCCGTATTATAATAGGGACCCCAAAAGGGACCACAATTTTGACAACCACCCACATCGAGGGGTCGGTAAGGGCTTCATTAGGGTTTAGGGGTTTAGGGTATAGGGGTTTTAGGGGTTTAGGGGTTTAGGGGCTTAGGGGTTCAGGGGTTTAGGGTTTAGGGGTTTAGGGGCTTAGGGGTTATAGGGTGTAGGGTCTAGGGGTTTAGGGTTTAGGGGTTTTAGGGTTTTAGGGTTTTAGGGTTTAGGGTTTAGGGGTTTGGGTTTATAGTAGAAGCACAAAAGTTGGAAACCCCAAAGCCTCGATCCTAGAGTAATGCAAAGGGAATCCCAGCACTATTTGGCCTTAAGCCGGTTGTTTACCGTAGGGATCTTAGGGTTCCTGTTCGATTTAAGCAAGGATCGATCTTTTAGGGGTACCCGGCAGTTCGAGGATGGCTGGATGCAAAAAAGGGCTCCTGTTCCCCTATGGAAACAGGTTTAGGGTTTAGGGATTTAGGTTTTAGGCTTTTAGGGTTTGGGGCTTAGGTTTGCGTAGTTCTCTAAATAAGGGGACTCCTTTGTAGGGTTCCTTAAACGGATCTATAAGGATTTCTATCGGGTTCCTACAAGGGTACTACAGGAGGGGTCCACTTGGGTAGAGAAATCTTGCTTGTTATCACCATAGTAAGACGAAAGATAGGAGTCATTCACCTTTTTTGGGGTATGACAATCCCTCAAGACTCCCAAACTTAAAACCTGTAGTTCCCCGAGTATACATTAGAACTAAGTGTGTAGTTCTCTAAATTGGCGTCCTTTTTTCGGTCCCCAAAATAATACGGCACCCTTATAAGAAGGACTCTAAAAGGGACCCTGATTGAGAGAACTACCCACATATATTTCCATTATGAAAATAGGTAGGGTTTCTCGTCGGCCTCCTCTAGGAGGCTTGTATAACCGTTTTATTTTACGGGTAATTAGGACGGTCTATAACTATGCTATTGCACGGGTCTAGCGTTTACGTAAGTTTACGATTAAAAGGTTTAGGCCTATAGTTCGATAATGGACTCCCAGAATGGAACTAAGATAAGCCTCCCAAATCCATGATTAGAACCCTAAGCCCTGAACCTTAACGACCTGATGATGGGCACGTAACTTAACCTACTCTTTAGAAGTATATGCTATATGGGTACATGGACCCTTAAACCCTAAACCCTATGGAACCCTTATAGTAAGCCCTTATAGGAAACCCTTTTCGGAACTCCTTAAAGGATCCCTCTACGGGCACATGGACCCTTAGGACCGTTTAGAAGTTCTTTTGTTCCGGGTAGGGGCGTTGGGGTACAGGGGTAGTACGGTTGATGATATAAATCCTGCATCACCTTAAGGACCCTAAACTATGAGAATTATGGTATATTCCTTATTATGGGTAATGCAGGATTTATATCATCAACCGTATCAAGCCTGGATAGGGTTCAGGAGGCGTTATGGATCTTAAGCCCTGAATTTCCATGAGTCCTCAAAAACTATGAACCTACTTGGAGGGGCAGGGGACTTAGTAAGTAGGCTAGAAGTAGAGTTATAAGTACCTTAAATGGAGTTACCCCAGTTAGAACCCTACTTATAACCTACTTACTAAGTCCCCTGCCCCTCCAGTAAACCCTTAAAGCCCAAGCCTCCGAAACCACGAGTCCGGCATAAGAGACTACCCGCCACTGTCCTGGATCCCAACAAGCAAGCCTCGGTGTCACCACTGATATTGCGCAGGGGGTACATAGCTTTGTTATCCCCTAGGAGGTTTCTTAGTGGTTTCATCTATGCCCTAGGAGGTTTGTTAGTGGTTCCATAGTGCGAAAGAAGGTTCTAGATTTGTTTAAGAGTTTGAGGGCTTCATGCGGGCTTTCAATTGGTGCTTTTTAAGGGTTCCTCAATCAGAAATAATGCTTTACAAGAGCCTCATTCAGCCTTCGGCTGTATAAGCGGGTTTGGGTCGAGATTTCGGATTAGGGGGTTTTCTAAGGGTGGACATCCACATAAGGGGCTGTCAGATTTGTTTCTCATTGCATGTTCTACAGAGGTTTCATAATCCGAACGGTTGAGTCGAGGTAAAGGTCAATACACGCTGGTGCCGGGTATTTCCTGAACATTAGGTCGCCGCGCTATGCGTACTGTATGAACTCACAATGCCTTACCTAAACCGCCCAAAAACTTAAAACAGGCTATGATTCTACGTACTGTTGGGGTCCAGGTAGGGTGTAATAGAATGTTGGGATGGGCCCGATGGGGAACGGCCCGCAGAAATTCACGGAGCTCTAAGGGCATCAAAACTTACCTATACCATTTTGGGGATTCTTTGATATACTTATGCTATTACGGGCCCCAAATCCCTATGCAAAGAACTAAGGCCCCTACATTAATGGCATCCCAAGCATGAGTTACTATTCATCGGAGCATCTGCTGGGAGTCGCCAGCAGTCCCGACACATTGCAGGCGCAGGGCTCAAAGTTGCAACAACCAAAGGGTTCGGGAGTATATCATACGGTTGATGATGTAAACCTTCATTACCTTAGGGACCCTAAACTATGGGAATTATGGTATATTCCATATTATGGGTAACTCATATCATAAACCGTAGTACGTTGGGGCCCACCCAGAGAGACAGTCTACCACTGAACCACCCCCTTAACCCTAAACCCTCAACAAAAGTAGCGGTCTGCCAACGCCATGGACAAATCAACAGATCAGAGCCTTTAACGCCAAATCCCAAATAGAATCAGAAGTTATGTAATAAGATACCAGAATAAGGGTAGGTTAATTATGAAAGTTGCAGTTAACTTCTTGCTGCACCAGCCCTCTGCCCCTTCGTGGTGCCGGGTGGCTGTAATCCATGAGCTGATGGCCTCCAAGCCACGAAACCTCGGTTAATCTAAAACTAGGAGTTCAGGGTTCGGGTTCTGCTCTCCACGGAAGAAAGAGAATATATATATATATATATGTATATATATATATAGAGAAAGTTGGTGAGTAAGACTTCAGACCCGTATGCTTACAGCATGTACACTATAAGCCAATGTGGATCCAAGTACCTACCAGAAACAGTATTTCTCAGCCTCAACCCTATGTTCAGTTCCTGCGACCTGCTGCACCCGATGGCATTTGCAAGCTGAGTGGTCTTCTGCAGCAAACCAGAAGCATACGCAGTAATTTCCCTTGTGAGATGTATAGTGCAGCATAGGCCGTAAGCTTTTGAAAACAAGAGCCAAAATCCAAGGGTAAAAGGACGGACCCTTAGTAAGGACTCCTAGGTATATACCCTTCATATAGCTGTTATATACCCATTATATAGCCCATTATAGGGTAGGGGTCCCCATTAAGGGTCCCACCTTTTCCCCTTTGACAAAAAGCTCTTCAGAAACTCTGAAAGCCTAAGCCCGAAAACCGGAACCCTCAACCCAGGCCATGGCAGATTATGCCCCGAAAGGTCAGCCCCATGGGGCATCCCAGGTCCGAAGCGGCACCATATAGAAAGGCGGGGCGGGGATATGGTATGGGCTTTATGGCTTAGGGCATAGAGTGTGTTTGGGGTGCCTGGAGCATCATACGGTACAGAAGCCCTGGGTTCTACTATGTGGGATATGGGTGTGGGATATGCTTGCCATGGAACGTTCATCCGAGCTAACCCTAAGCCCCAGTCCCACGGAACACTTATCCCTGGAACATAAACTCACAGCCCGAGACACTTCACACCAACCCCTAAACCCCAACAAAACCAAACCCTAAACAGCCTGAACCCTTGAAACCCTGAACCGTAAACCCAACCCCTAAACCTATACCCAAACCCTCAACAGCCTGAACTTGGCCCGTTGGCCTTTTTGGTACTGGGTAACTTTATAAGGAACCTAGAACTACGAAAAGGGAATAAGGGTACTGGGCATCCTAGCTTCCTATTGTACTTGTATTCGAATCTGGGAGTTTCCGAAATAGGGGGCCCTTCTATAGCCCTAAATAGTAGGCTCCTTATTTTAAGGACCCCAAAACAACGTACCCCTTAGATGATTGCTGCCATGCCGCGTCGCGGCGAAGAGCCTCGAGGAAAGCGTCGCGCTGACTCGGGAGCAAGGGGATCTTCACCTGCCGCCGTCATTCTGCACTCCACCATTTTGACAAAAGTAGGGGGCATGTTTAAGGGCTTCCTTGAAGGAATCTATAGGGTTTTAGGGTTTGGGGTTTAGGGTTTCATTTTGACTAAAGTCGGTTTCGTTTTCCATTCAACTTTGCGAATTCTGTATCTGCGCTCCACGATTTTTGACGAAAGTAGGGCTGATCATAAAAATCCTGCACTGCCCAAAATAAGGAATACATAGTTACCAGTATTCCCATAGTCCAGGGCATTAAGGTAATGCAGGGTTTATATCATCATCCGTGGGTTTCGCATTTCAGTCGCCTTTGCGAAGGCTGTATCTGCGTTGCTTTGGCAAGTCTGTTGGCTTGAGGCGTGTGTCTTTGAGATATGGATAGTTCTCTGGATTTCCCAGGGCTTGACCATGTAGGTGAAGAGTCGTATGTCAGGCCCTGCCAAGGTACACTTAACGGATACCTTATCGCCATAGCTGGGAGTGAGCATGTTCCGGGGCTTTAAGCGTTGGGGTGATATGTTTAAGTTTCAGGACTTGGGTACCGATTACATATACCACTCTCAGCAATGCGTTTTTGTTACAATGTTAGAATTACAACTTGTCTGTTTGCTGGATGCCTAAGACCGGCAATAACACAAACACAAAACACAACGAACGATTAAACAAGGTACATAAGAGCCGTACGGTAAGGCAAACACATAGAACATGTCGGGAACACTCAGATTGGCTTGGAAGCTCGGGGGGGCAGCATTTATCATGGAGTTACAAGCACTGTGATTAACCCCAACTAGGACCCACTTTTGACACTTATGACTGCACTTACTCCCTACTTAACAACGACCCTCCAAGTAGATCCTCCCCGGTTCCTAAACCCCAAACCCTATAGATCCCTTTAAGGAACCCTATAGACTCTATAGATCCCCTTAAAGGGCCCTTTAAGAACCCTTGTCAAGTCCCATGATCCTTTAAGTACCGGCCTGCCGTGCTTCGCACTTGCCGGCGTAGTAGCGCCGCCTCGCCTTTTGCAGTAGGTTCAGGGTTTCGACCTGTGGGGTCCCAGGTTCTGTTACAAAATACACCATATTCGTTAATTAAAGAGTGTTGGAGGATTATTAAGGAATATTCCTTAAATCACGTTAGGGATCCTATTATAACTTAGGGTATATATTCCTTAATTCAGGGACATCGGAGTCTCTGGGCTACGCAAACGGTTCCCAGAGAGCCCAACACCTTAGAAGGGGCCCCCACCCTGTAATAGTGGTATAATAGGAACAGAATAGGGCCCTAATAAATAATCCTTTTAGTCACTATTACAGGGTGGGGGCAGCTTCTAACCAATACCCCCTTAATTAAAGAACCAGCTTAAATGATGATATGAAGCCCCCTATAAAGCTTATTATAGCTTAAAACATAATATAAAGCCCCTTATAAGTTGGGGTATCTTCCTTAATTGAAGCGTATTGGGCTCTCTGGGTTCTCTTGCAGCCCCAGTTGCAGATATCCCACAAGGTCCCATCCCCTCCCTAAACCCTAAGCCCTCAACTCCTTTTGAAAGTACTTTGTGCGGGGAACGTCGCCTGACTCCATGTACAGGAGCACCACATCGGCAAATTCCTCGGAAGGAGTGATGTAAGATGGGGTTTAGGGTTTAATGTAGTGGCTAATAGTCAAAAAATAGGGTTTCGGAGTAGATTATCCTATAATCATAATAAGGAATCCCCAAAGCCCTATATTAATTAATAAGGCCCCTATATTAAGGGTCCAAGTCCACAACTCACCCAGATTCGAAAGGAGCCCAACATGCAATAAACCGCAAATCCCGACCCTAAACCCTAAGCCCCATCTCCGAAATCCAAACGGAAACTTGATGTATATCTTTTGACACCCTAAACCCTCTGCAGCTGCCAGTTGAACCGGCCAGGGTAGGGGGCATGGATAGTAAATCTCCCCAACAGAAGCAGAAGGATGGCAGGGGTAATCTGACATGGCTGGGCTATGCAGAGAAAGACAAGGCGGAAGTACTTGATAGAGGGTTTCCACAGTCCTTGCATGTGCGTGCTTAGTTACGATGGCTCGGTACGAGCTTGCTGTTGATCCACTGGTGCCCGTCGCAGATACAAATCTCAGAACCTGTGTCGCCTAAACCCTGACACCCTCAAGGGGCAGCTTATCTATATACTAGATACGCGCTGCACTCTAACGCCAATAGAAAACCACAGTCCCAGCAGACTGCTTATCAAGCAGACATGCATATTAAGTATGATGCATGTTATGGCTTTGGGCGAGTGTACGTAATGCGACATTTGCTGAGTGCATAGATGAGCGTCTGGGGATCCCAACTTGAAGGGTTTAGGGTTTAGGGTAAAGGCCCAAGGAAAACCTTGGACGACATTGACATGGATTCCCAGTCTGGGGATTCGCGATTCCCTAAAACCCAAACCGTCAGTGAGGTTCAGAGTCTTGCTACCCCAACAACCCTAGAAGAAAAGTCAAAGAGTCTCCGATTCTAGTTAAACGTAGTAGAGTATCAATCAAAACGAACACCAGAAGCTTGACACGACAAACTCATGGAGGCAAAGGTCCATACACGTTTGTGAACGGCACGGACTTTGACGCCCTCTTTCTCCTGCGATTGCTCGGATCAAAATTGGCAAGAGGTTTAGGGTGAAAGGCGGGTGCGAGACCTGAGACATCTACGTTTGCAGGGTATATCATATCACAGGGTTTGGTGCGTACGCTCGCTTTGCATGCTGTGGTAAATGAAGTTGTACGCTCGTGCTCCGGTTGATGATATAAATCCTGCATGACCCATATTAAGGAATATACCATAATTCCCATAGTTTAGGGTCCTTAATGTAATGCAGGATTTATATCATCAGCCGTACCTACCTCGAGTTCTGAAGTCGACGGGTAATTAGCGCTTGTCCCGATCGAAGCACGGTTGCCGAGGCTTTTTGATCTATGCCCTAAGGGTCCAAGTACCTAAATAGTAGGGTTTCAAGGTCCAAAAACCATTCAGAGTATGGATTTTGGGACCTGAAACCCTACTATTTGGGTGCTTGGACCCACTGGGATGGGTCCATGCTGGGGCGTACTTGCTGACAAGACAAGGTGCACGCAGATGCCACACATTGGCAAAGACATGTATGCACGTAGCCATGTACCCATGTATGCATGTATGTATGTATGTATGTATGGACGGATGGATGCATGGACAAGTATGCATGCTTGAACACTTTTGTACAACTTGAGGGAAATGTGTGTGGTCGTGATGCTGGCAATGAAGTACAGAGGTAGGCTCCATTTACATATGCAGCATGCTCAGGCAGCAAGGTATATTTGCATTGGCGTACATACTTGTGTTACAGGTCAACAGCTATATATATATATGTAAACTTATGGTTATTCAGTTCTGTCGCTTGAGCTGTTTAACTAACGATGGACAAGTTTATGTCCACATGAATTAAGTACTGCTTGCCTGTCCCTTCCGGTGTTGCTGTTGTTTCTACTTTGCGTTTGTCGTTGTCGAAGCCAGAAAGCTCCACCCCAGACCTTCCAAAATCCCTTAATTAAGGAATATACCCTAAATATAATAGGATCCCTAATATGATTTAAGGTATATTCCTTAATTAAAAGATTTTCGAAGCTGGGACAGACTGCAGAAGCACTCGAAGACGGTCTTGGGTATGGCCCTCGTAGGGTTTCGGTGCTTGAGGTTGGAGGCCTGCCCCAAACACTCGTGTGTGAGGAGACGCTGCGAAGAAAGGAGCAACAACTTCATTGGGGGGGGAGGCGGGAGGGGGTTTAGGGTTTACGGTTGGGGGGAGGGCTATTCTCTACAAGACTTAAAGGTCTTCAAGACAGTACCCTTGGCAAGTTATATGGGAGTCTCTGAGCGTAGGAGGATGTTGGACACCATTGACTTACTTTTTTATAGCTGATGAACAGCAAAGGCCTCATGAGAGACTCTCACAATACCCCCTCTGATAATGACCTATAAGGGCCCGACAAGCCCTTTAGCCTAACACCAAATGGAATAGACGCGCATCCACAGCAGGAAGAAGCCCCAGCATCCATCCACCCCACCTCAAAAGAACACACACACACACACAGACAGACAGACAGACCCAAGAACCTCCTAGCCCCAATCCGAAACCTTCAACCTAACCTTGAACCAAGACACCCTAAACACCATAGACCCTGAAGCACAGTGCGCATCCTTCAAAGTGAAATCGTCGCACCTCAACTAGCCCTATACACAGAACAGTCTACGACCTAAAGCAACCAAACCCAATGGGTCCAAGTGCCCGAATAATGATTTTGAGAAGAAAAATGGCGCCTGAAACCCTTATAGTAGAAGCCAGAAAGTTGGAATATGGTTTCAGGGTAGGATACCTTATAATTTACCACAAAGGCTTTAGGATAACCATATTCCAACTTTCTGGCTTTTACTGTATATCTAGTGAGAAAAAATCCGGGCTCAACAGTGTAATGTCTGACAAACCCAGACCTTCCAAAATCCCTTAATTAAGGAATACTCCTAGGGTTCCTTAAAGGGATCTATAAGGGCTCTATAAGGGAATTAAGGAATATACCTTAAATCATATTAAGGATCCTACTATAATACTCCTTAATTAAGGGGTTTTGGAAGGTCTGACAAATCTAGCTCCGTCAATTTCAATCAAGCGGCTAGCAGCTTGTCGTCTGCACAGCCCTTCAGATCGTAGAGGACCTGCCCAGCAAGTGCAGCTTCTGTAACTAAAGCACTGAACTCTAAACCAATGCCTACACTCTGGGTTTCAGGCATGGCGCTCACCTGCTCACTTTCAAGCATCGGGGTTTTGTTCTGCAATGTCCACAATGCACAACGACCGGAGCTTATTATACTAGTAGTTGCAAGTGCGTATTTGGATAGTTATCTAAATTACGGTCCCTCTGTAGGTCTCCAAAATAATACGGCACCCTCTTAAAAAGGATCCTTAAAGGGATCCTATTTCGTAAAGAAATACACACAAAGCCTCGACTTGGACCGCTGGGCATACTGACTACGAGTCCACAGTTCAGAATCCTCATGCGGACCCTGCGACAAACACCCTGCGACTTTGGTAGGTTTAAATGAGGTTGAGGTGTTACAGTGTAGGGTACATAAGGTATTGCAGGACTGGCGAGGCAATAAGATTCGCCAGCGTGCTGAGAATTCAGCAATCTGAGTACAAGAGGGTCCGAAGATACTATAAATGTGGAATGTGGCCTCGGATTACGACTCTAGTCATGGTTTTGGTTGACCTATCTCCTTCGCGGGGCGTACCCGACCTATATCAAACACTTGTAAAGCTCATCAGGGCGATTTTCGATTTGTGGGGCTGGGGGATCAATGATCTAAGGAATGGGTCCAAGGTTTTCTGGCAACTCCAGTGCTGCAGAATGTTCTATTCAGGGGTCTAGGTTCAAGTTATTTCAAGCCGAAACTGAGAGCCGCAGCCCTCAAAGAAGAACAGTAATAATAAAAAAATAATAATAATATACTAATAAAAATACTAATAATAATAACAATAACAATAACAATAATAATAATAATACTAATAATAATAATACTAACAATAATAACAAAATAATAATAATAATAATAATAATAAAATAATAATAGTAATAATAATAATAATAATAATAATAACAATAACAATAACAATAACAATAATAATAATACTAATAATAATAATACTAATAATACTAATAATACTAATACTAATACTAATACTAATACTAATACTAATACTAATACTACTAATAATAATAATAATAATAATAATAGGACTGACAGTGTCAAGAAACTTGCCCCGAGCCCTTTGCGCCCAACTTCAGCCCAAAGAAACCTTAAAGGAACCTAAACCCTTAACCCAACGAAACTCCGGAGGCAGCCTGGAATGGGCCCGATCCAATAGCATTCCTTGCTTTCCAGGCGAAATTGGCTTTGTAACATGCGGGGACCGTGGCAATACAGGGGCCTTAAAAAATAGAATAGGGTTTCGGGGCCCTGTATACTATGATTGTGATAGGGAACCCCAATATAATATAGGTAATTATTAAGGCCCCTATATTAAAATGCTCTGTAGCGGTTTGTAAGGCTTCTGATGAAGGCTTCATAACAAATCGAAGGAAGGTCCGCCCCCCGCATGCCTGACCGGAGCTTGGCCAGGGATTCCACAAGCCACTGTGCCCCAGTGGCTTCGTCGAGGACGTTTGGATTGCCCAGTCTGGCTCGCATCTGATTCAGCAGGGGCTGCAGCTGCACACTGGAGGCCGCCGTCCGCACAGCCTCCTCCACGAGCAACATCCAAAATTCAGGGCCGGACTCCTCACCTTCTTTCGTGACACGTTTCTGGGTGACCGGGTCACCTTGAAGTTTAGGGTTTAGGGTTTAGGGTATTCTCGAACGTGGGTCTGCCTGATAGCTGGTAAAGCGCCTCGGCAGCGGTCCTGGGTGTCCCCACAGTCTTTGCTGACGGGAGGTGGGAAACACAGCGGAAGAACTGCTTGGCCCGCTGAATACTTGGAGGGTTTGGGGACTTAGTAAGTAGGTAGTAAGTAGACTTATATGTATCCTATTAGGGACCCTAATTAGGGTTATGGTACTTATAAGTCCTTAACTAACCAGTTACTAAGTCCCCCGACCCTCCACGTAGTAGCTCATCGGCTCCTCCTGATGAGGGTTTAGGGCTTAGGATTAAGGGTCTGCGGGCTTTGGGTTTATGGTTTAGGGATTAAGGGTTTCGGGTGTAGGGACTGAGGTACAGGGATCAGGGCTTAGGGTCCCGAGCTGCATAGAATATGCTTACTAGAGATGCAAAAATGTGAAAACGGCTTACGGGTTTGAGACACGTGCATGGCGGGGTCAAACAAGGTTGAAGCTTTCGGCCCGAATGCTGCTGTCAGTATGAGGCCTCTCTGTGCGAGTGCTTCAAACAGTACAGTAGAAGGTTACAGTTTCGAAACCCACTAGCATCAATCCTTAAGAGTACTGTACAGGGAATCCCAGCTCTATTTGGCCTTAATCCGGATTTCAACTTTATGGGGCTTACTGTAGTTTATTTGGGGGCTTTAGGTAGGGGGCCCTAAATCCTAAACCCAACTAGGGGCCCGGGTCAAGCAGAGCGGCTGCATGACGAAGAACATCCGATTGCTGGCCACATCTCCTCATGGTCAAAGGTTCGGGGTATACGGAATGTGGGAATCGGGTTTTAGGGTTGAGCGTTTTTCGGCTTTGACGCTTAGAGTTTAAGGTTTCTTGACACAGCAGGCAGCAAACAACAAAAGGCACTCGAAAAGCCCAATACCTTTTCAATATTCAGGAAATTGCCTTGAGTACTCATTATTCATCATGCTTGAGTGCGGAGATATGATTAGGCTCTCTGAGATAATCCCGGCAACAATCCCTTTCCGGCATTTCTTCAGAGGGCTCTACACAGTCAGAGGTCCGACTAGCTGTGTATGGGGCCCTGTATCGTCCATGCACCAGCATAGCCTAAGCTTTGCCGGACGAGGGCTCCTACAAAGGCAGCCTTGGGTCAGATTACATACCATACTGTTGATGATATAAATCCTGCATTACCTTAAGGACCCTAAACTATGGGATTTATGGTATATTCCTTATTATGGGTCATGCAGGATTTATAGCATCAACTGTATAAGCCCTAGACCCTAAACCCTAAAGCCCCTAAAGCCCCTAAAGTTCTCGGACCCTGAGATACTTAGCAGAAAGAGGTGAGCCTTGACAGCGAGGGTCCTCCTGTCACCTTCCCGCTCCTTACTTAAAACTGTACCTAGACCTACTAAACCCTACTTTTTGGTAGGTTCTTATTATAAACCCTAATAACTGTACCTAGACCTACTAAACCCTACTTTTTTTGGTAGGTTCTGATTATCAACCCTAATAACTGTACCTAGACCTACTAAACCCTACTTTTTTGTAGGTTCTTATTGTAAACCCGAATATGGGGTTTATAGGGACTAGGGACCCTACAAAAGAGAAGGTTCTGGTAGGTTAAGGTATGGGGCTTCGTAACTCGGGCAAAAGGTTTTACGGTTTAGGGCACCTGTGCGCATAAATCATGACTCCAGAACAGATACGTATAACTGTCCCTAAGGGTCCATGTACCCATGTAGCATATACTTTGGGCCCAATGTACCTATATAGGGAGTACTTTAAGGCCAATGTATATACTATATGAGTACATGGACCCTTAGGGTGTACTTACTAAGTCCCACGAACCTCCACGTAAGACTTCTTTGGGTGGGTGTAGCACAGGGAGATGTCCGGTTCACAGTTATGTGCAGTCCCCGGATGTCCCAAAGGGCCCTAACCCTAGGGATCAAAGGACTCATATATTAAGGCTTTTGGGCCCTAAGGCCATACTCTATAATTACATAAGGCTTTTGGGGGGGCCATTTTGATCCCCAGGCTAAGTACTTACAGTAGACAGTAGGGCTGCCATAGTAGGAAATGCCATTCTGGTTTGGGTAGGTACCATGATGGCATAGGCGTATACTTGGCCCTAAACCCTAAACCATAAGCCGTTGGCATCTGGGCTTCGGGTCCACATAAGGTCACAGCGCAGGCTTCCAGATCCCCCTTAACCCTAAACTCAAAACTGCCGTGGTGACGCAGAGTTAAACTTTTAGCCTCCTTATTATAGTTAATATGGAAACCCAAAAAGTCAGAATCCTAAAAGCCAGCCAGAAGAACGCCAAGGGGTGTCTTGCTAACTTGAACCCTACTTGACCCTCGCTCCCCAAAGCTTCATACGCCGCCACGAGCTCTGTGAAATCGTACTTAGAGGATCATGGGACTTAGTAAGTCGGTTATAATTGGGGTTATAAGTCCCCTAAGTGGGGTTATCCTAATTAGAACCTACTTATAACCTTACTTACTAAGTCCCCTGCCCCTCCAAGTAGGGTACGACCCCTCAATTACTGGGTAGATCCCTTAAAGCAAAAGTGCACCGTTGAAGAACCGCCTCCAACAAAAACAGCCTTCTTAAGAACTTTTGTAAGAGAATCACAATGATGAGCAGCTCAGGTATACCGCGGAAATCATCCCTAAACCCTAAACCCCTAACGTCTCAACACTAAACCCTTATCCCGTAAACCCTACACCAGCGCCCAAGGGGCTGAAATGGAGATAGATTGGGCAAAGCAAGGAGGGCCCACCGAGAATGTGTTCACCTCAGAGCCGCATTGCAGGGTGGTAGGACTTTTCAGGGTGGTTAGGTCTTCATTCAAAGCTTTAGCCGTTTTGAGGATGTGGGGTTTAGGGGTTTAGACCTTTAGGAGTTTGGGGCTTGAGTGCTCCAATTTATTTGTTGGGCTTTGGAGCTGAAGAAAGCTGTGGAAAGTTGTAGGGTTTAGACCTCAGTGTTCAGTGCTCGGGCACGGGGTTCTTATCTGGTCACAGTACGAATCGCAAAGGGCGGAAATACTGCAGAATGCTCAAGAGCCCACAATTCAGATGAAGCCCCTAAACCCTAAACCCTAAACCCCTAAACCCTAATATCGGTTTAGAGCTTCGGGCTTAGCCTCGGAGTCTGTCGCTGTAGGTTTGGAGCTCTGGGTTTGGGCTCCGGGAACACCAGTTGCCCGATGAGAAACCCTACGCCCGAAACCCTCTAACAGCAAACTCCCCAAACCTCATTTCTAAACCCAAACCCTAGACATTAACCCTAAACCCCTAAGCCCTAAAGCCCTTGGAGAGAGAAACCCTTCTGAGCACATGGACCCTTACGGCGTTGGGTTTGGGGTTTAGGGTGAGGCTGGACCCGAGAGTCTAGAGAACCTTCCTTTTTCGGGCTCCTGACTATGATTGCTTATACATGTCCGAAAAACGACAAGTTATTCAGAGTCCCGGTAGGGCTTCGGAATACGTGGACAGGATAAGGACTGTCTGCTTAGAAGGGAATGGGGGAATGGATTATGGAGACTATGATTACCCTAAGGCTCCGGGACCCTCGTAGTGAGATCCCAAACCGCAGCCCCCAAAGCCCAAAGCCTTCCCCCAGAAAGCCCATGAATTGTCTGGGAGCCTTAGGGTAGGGATTATATAGGGACTACCATATAGGGATCCATTCCCCCATTCCCTACATAGCACCAGGCAGAGGAACGAGTTTACCTGTAGCCCCAAACCCTACAACAGAGGGGGTCATGACCCCTGAACTATCCCCTAAACCCTAACCCTAAGGGTCCATGTACCCATGTAGCATATACTTTGGGCCCAATGTACCTATATAGGGAGTACTTTAAGGCCAATGTATATACTATATGAGTACATGGACCCTTAGGGTACACTCCGAAGCCCTAAACCCTACATTGGTTCGGATCCCCGAGGTCGGGTATCCCTAGAACCCTAAGCCCGGGTGCTGTTTAGGCACCCAAAGGCCCTAAGTACCTCCAAGGGTTGCTGTAGGGGTTGCTATGAGGGTTCCTTGGTTTAGGGTTTAGGGTTTGCGCCCAAATGGTCCTAAGTACCTATACAGTAGAACAGTAATTATAGGGCTTCTGAACTAGGAAGTACGACTATGGTTTGGGCAAGTATCCCCACATAGGTACTTTGGACCCTTTGGGGACACAAAACGCTTTGGACTCTTACAACCTGAGGGACCAAGGACCCTTAAACAGTTAGAGTCCTGTTGCCCTTATACTCTGACTCCCTGTATAGATGTATTGCAGCAAGACTATGTAGATACATGCTCACGTTTGGAACAAGCTGTATACGAACCTTAGATGCTTTTAGGATTTTCAAAAACCATGAGATGCCGCCCGCGGTGCACAGACTCCCAGACACCTCCAGCAGCGTACGGTGGTCGCCTTCCGGCTTGGGCGTTCGGATTTGGTTTGAAGCTCTAGAAAATACTTTGAGGTCTTCCATTTAGTAGTAAGTTGAGTAGAACATTGACCCGTAGTTCAGGATGTGATTCGGGGGTTTTGTGGTTGAGGGGTTTGGGGGCTTAGGTTTTTTGTAGATCTATGTTGACGGTTGGACCTTTCTCTGCCTGCCCAGGTTTGGGCACATAGAAGGTGAGACTACGGTGTAGGGGTGTTGGACTTTAGGTGGTTTCGGGTTTACGGACTTTAGGGAAAAGGTTGAAGGTTCAGGGCGTAGCACTTAGGGCATTAGTCTAGGGCTTCTTCCACCAAGAGGTTGGAACCTATATATAAAAAGGGCCCATGTAACCTAGACCCCCAACTACCCTCTAATGTACCATAGATACCCACTTTTAAAGACCATAAGGCTCTGTTAAAGGGCACTTGGGGGGTCTTGTAACAGACTAAAAGGCCTCATGTAGCATGCCTGTTAGGCACAAGAGCCTGACCTTCTGAGTCCTCGAGCCCCACAGTCTAAATGGGAGTTTCCGAAAATTAGGGTACTTATTTTGGGGTCCCTGTAAAAAAAAAACCTACCATTTAGGGTACTGCATTAGGGTTCCCCTACCTTCGGAAACTACCAATATGAACCCTTATAGAGCCCTTTAAAGGAACCCTTATGGTACCCTTATAGTAGCCCTTTAAAGGAACCCTCAAAGGGTCCCCTATTTTACCAAATTGGCTCTAGAGTTTGAGCCCTATTCCGAGCCTGAACGTAAACACGATGTCTTCCCCTAAGCCCCAACAACCTGATTAACCGTTCTTAGGCTAGACCCAAGAGTACCCTAGGAATAAAAAGGGTGCCCTTTTTTGGTTTAAAGGGGGTTATAAGGGAACCTGAACCCTAAAAAAAGGGAATAAGGGCCTACTCTGGGTCCTAGTAGGGGCTTGAGATTTATGGGAGTTCCCGAAAATAGGGGACCCTAATATAGTGCCCCAAATAAACAATACCTTTCCCAACAGGTGCTAAGTACCTAATGGGGATACTTACGTCCCCAAACCACAATAGTATTTCATAACAGGTACTTAGGATCCTTTAGGTAAACCTACACCCCAAACCCGACACACTGAGAGAAATCTATAGAGGAACCCTTGTAGTATCCCTTGAAGGAACCCTTAATTAGTGGAGCCCTTATAGCAACCCTTAGAGGAACCCTGATTTATGAAGGAACCCTTTTTTCTCATAGACCCCAAAACCCTAGAAACAACCACACCCGAAACTTATAGGCACCTAGGACCCTTTCTGGGTTTGTCAACTCAGAAAACCTGCCTTTCTTATGCTTACGGTCTAGGGCTTTGGGTTCAGGGTTCAGGGTTTAGGGCTCAGGGTTTAGGGCTTAGAGTTCACGTAGGGTTTAGGGTTTAGGGTTTATGTAGAGTTTAGGGCTAATGGAGGGTTTAGGGTTTAGGGCCCAACGCGCAAGACGAACCGAAACGACACATACCTTCAGGACGAAATGGACTCTAGAACGGCATCCTCTAATTTATGTAAGGTCTCATAACAGGATCTATACGGGTTCAGCGTTTCGGGCTTTGGGTGTTAGGGTATCCTTATGGGCGAAACGAACCCTAAACCGTGTAAGGACTATTTCTAGCAGAGAAGGGCATGGGGCCCCTACTGTGAAGGATCATGTGGTCCTTAAGGACGACATGAACTCTAAGAGGGGTTCTCTAAGGTCTCGTAACAGGATCTATACGGGTTCAGGGTTTAGATTTTGGGATGTAGGGTTTCCTCAAGGACGACGTGAACCCTAACATGGTTTACGATTCATATGTCCGTGTAAGGACTATTTATAGTAGAAGGGCATAGGGGTCCTTCAGGGACGTCAAGCACCAGCATCTAAACCCGCACAAGCCAGTCAAAACCTTTGGAACCCACACCAGAGCTCAAAACCCTTTCCAAAACCCGTTCAGGGTTTAAGGTTCAGAGTTTGTCAATCCTTAACACGGCAACAAATGGGCCTTTGCTGAGCTCCTTTACTACATAGTCGCCCACTTTGGCCATGAGAGTTCCACCCTTTCCACCGCCTGGCACACAAACCAAGTCTCCCAGAGAGTCGAACAGTACCCATGATTCAGGAATACCTAGATTAACCGGCCTCAAGTGGGGCATGTCCTTTCTTTCCTTTATGGGGTGGGCTGTATCGTTCACGGAGTTTCGTGCTGACTTCCTGGACGCGATTCAAACTAAACCCTGCAACACCCGAAACCTTTATAGAACCCTCGTAGGAATCCTTTTGGGACCCCGCACAAACTCCTAAGCCCCAATCTTGTGAAATACATACAGGAAGACTTTAATGGAGGAGCGCGATGTAGAAACCCTGGGCCTATAACCCCAAAATGGTAGGAGTCATATGAGGAACCCTCATAAAGGCCCAAGGTATCTTAATCAGGTTCCTACATTAAACCCCCACAAACCCTTATAGTACTCTTATAGTAACCTTGAAAGGAACCCTTATAGAACCCTAAGAAAAGCCCAAGGTTTCTTAACCAGGTTCCTAGATGAATCTAAGGACCCCTAAATCCCAGACCCGAGGATTCTTGCAGGAACCCAAAAGCATCACTCAGACCTAAACTCGAAACACGAAGCCCGCAACTGTGATCCCTAACAGTCCATGTACTCATATAGTATATACATTGGCCTTAAAGTACTCCCTATGTAGGTACATTGGGCTATGCTAGATGGGTACATGGACCCTTAGGGATTCGGATTTAGGGGGATGTTTTGAGCATAGGGTTTGGGGTTTGTGCTTTAGGGTTTAGGGTTTAGGGTTTAGGGATTAGGGTTTAGGGATTAGGGTTTAGGGTTTAGGGTTTAGGCTGGATTACGGTCCACTGTTTTTTTCGGCTTGGGTGCAGGGACTGGACTTGAAGTCAAAGGGTTCTGACCTTAAGGACCAAATAACCCGCAAAAGAAGGGGGGCTATCTAACCTCTCATACTATGAGCGCCTGTAATATGCATCTGTAAAGTATGTCAACTAAAGGCCCTGTCAAGGTTCATGTGCTACGTTGAGAGAAGTCAGAAGTAGCCCTACTCCCAAAATCATTTCCCACGAAATAGGAATACCCCTTGATTACAGGGTACTTTAATCGCGGGGTATATCCCTTAACACACCCAGAGGGTCCAAGTACCCAAACAGTAGGGTTCCAGGTCCTAAAATCCATACTCTGAGTGGTTTTTGGACCTTGAAACCCTACTATTTGGGTACTTGGACCCTTAGGGACAGTAGGTTCTTGGATCCCCAGGTCAACCCTGCCCTACAGCAACGGCTTTCGGATGGCCACAACTTGTTTCCCCAAGGAGCCTTTCCCAAACCTTCCAAAATCCCTGAATTCAGGAATATACCTTAAATCTTATTAGGGATCCTACTATAATCCAAGGTACATGCCTTAATTAAAGGATTGGATTTGGAAGTTCCCCAACCCTTAACCCTAAACCTTAAAGGTTCCATTAAAGCTTCGTTTCAGGGCTCCCTAAGCCCCTCACAGCAGCCCTTTCAAATCCGCTTGTAGGAGGGGACTACCCAGAGATCCCAACATATCCCTTAATTCAGAATATACCTCTATAAACCACATTATTAAAGCCCCTATAATTTAAGGTATATTCCTGAATGAAGGGATATTGGGATCTCTGGGTAATGTAGGAACCTGATTAAGAAACCCTTGCCCTATAACACCAATATATTAAGATTCATATAAGGAACACTCACAAAGGCCCAAGGTTTCTTAATCAGGTTCCTGCATTAAACCCCCACAAACCCTTATAGTATCCTTATAGCGACCTTAAGAGGAACCCTTATAGAACCCTAAGACAGGCCCAAGGTTTCTTAATCAGGTTCCTACATTACCACCTAAACCCTAAACCCCTAAACCCTATAAGCCCTCTAAGCCCTATAAGCCCTAAGCCCCAAACCTCCTAAATATGAAAGCCAGCGGCCTCCGGTGAGGCTCTCGAAGGACCATCCTTCATTCACGAAGTCGTCGGGCCTTCGACAGGCTGTCGAAGTTCCAGGGCGCTCAGGGTTTTGGGAGGTTTAGGGTTTAGAGAGTTTAGGGCTTTGGGTTTAAGGTTTAGGGCTTACACGGTTTAGGTTTAGGGTTTAGGGGCTTATAGGGTTTGGGGTTTAGGGCTTAGGGTTTCGGGTCGGGCCTTCGACAGGGCTTTGAAGTTCCAGGGCTGAGGGTTTGGGGGTTTTAGGACCTTCGAGATGGACGCTTTCGGATTGAGGCTTCATTGCTAGTGCTGTCGGATTTATGGTACAGCTAGAGGCTCCATAGATGCTACCATCATAGAATTCAGCCCCCGGAAGACCATCCTGATTATGGGTTTTAGGGACCTATAGTTCCATAATGGCAAATATACTTGGGATAGAGATTGAATATTCGGAGGTCAGAGCCGCAAGCTCCGAGCCGGCACACCTAAATGTGCGGTTTTGGAAAGCCAAATTCAAAACCCCCAGTCTAAACCAAAACTATACGTAACTCCCCACTGGGCTTTGAAGCAAAAAGGGAAAAACCAAAGACTTTTGTTTCATAGTTGGTTCCCTTTAAGTAACAGGTCCCAACAAAGTATTAAAGTGTGGTACTCCAAAGCCCAGTAGATCCGCCGCCCTTCTCACCTGCGACGACCTGAGTGCCGGGCACATCGGCACTTCGGCGGAGGAGCGAAAATCGTTCTTCGTTGAAGAACTCCTTAGCGGACGACAAGCAAATCAAGGGCCTTGATGTTGAGAATAGGCCTTTTGGGGTACATTATAGTAATCATAAAGAGGACAACAAGGGGATACTGTGAGCAACCAAGGTTCAGCCTCATGATGACATGGCCCGAAGGCTATAACTAAGCCTAAACCCTAAACCCTAAACCCTGAAGCCTAAACTCATAGGGACCCTTAGGGGGGTAGGAGACGATACTTCCTCTAAGGGTCCTTATCATAAACTCTAAACCCTCAACGCCTCCAACCCTGGGGATCAACATAGCCCAAAAGCCTTGTATAGTATGGTCTTTGGGCCGAAAAGCCTTAATATATGAGGCCTAAGATCCCTACACCCTATAGATCCCTTTAAAAGATCCCTTATAGATCCCTTTAAAGGAACCCTTATAATTATAGATCCCTTTAAAGAAACCCTGTATGAGCTCTTGGATCCCTAAAGTAAACCCTCAACGCAGGCTCAGTTGCGACGCTGCGCCCGGCCGGGCGAATGGCGGATGACGCCTTCTTTCAGGATCAGGATCCCAGGAGGGTTTAGAGATCCCAATATCTCTAAATTAAGGAATATAGGGGCCTTAATATTATGGTTTAGGGTTTAGGGTATATTCCACAAGTAAGGGTTATTGGGATCTCTGGGAGGGTTTCGGGTTCAGCCTTTAGGTACCCATTCGGGCGCATCTTAAAGCTTAAGATCTAGGAGTCCTCTAGCAACAACCGGCGGAGGGTTTTTTTTTTTTTCAAAGGTGCGGCCAACCCTTTTTTTTCATAGGTGCGGCCAAGGATCTGTTCAGGTTCGACACGCAGGATCCGTGTGAAGGGTTCATCGGGGACATAGAAAATTTGCACCGCGCCACAGCGCCAGCGCTTCGACACGCAGGATCCCTGTGGAGGGTTCATCGGGGACGTAGAAAATTTGCACCGCACCACAGCGCCAGCGCTTCGACACGCAGGATCCCTGTGAAGGGTTCATCGGGTACATACAAAATTTGCGCCGCGCCACAGCGCCAGCGCTTCGACACGCAGGATCCCTGTGGAGGGTTCATCGGGGACGTAGAAAATTTGCACCGCACCACAGCGCCAGCGCTTCGACACGCAGGATCCCTGTGGAAGCTTCATCGGGGACGTTGAAAATTTGCACCGCGCCACAGCGCCGGCGCTTCGACACGCAGGATCCCTGTGGAGGGTTCATCGGGGACGTAGAAAATTTGCACCGCACCACAGCGCCGGCGCTTCGACACGCAGTATCCCTGTGGAGGGTTCATCGGGGACCTCCCCCCTTTGCAAACTGACGCGTTGTTGTCTGGACTTCTCCTTCTTGTGTTTTGGCGAATACGTTTTTGTGAATCTCTTCGTGCCTTTAGTGAGCGGGGAGTTTAGTCTAAAAAAGCGAGGGGGCAGCCCCCCCCATTTGTAAACCTTTTAAACCCTTCACGATTGATTGTGTTTACTTCGCATTAAACCACCCTGAACGTTTGTTGTATTTACAAACCCTTTAAACCCTTCACGACTGACTGTGTTTTCTTCGCATTAAACCACCCTGACGCGTTGTTGTCTGGCTTTCTCCTTCTTCTGTGTTGGCGAATACGTTTTTGTGCATCTCTTCGTGCCAGTGAGCGGGAGTTTAGCCAAAAAAAACGCGGGGGGGCTTGGGGGGGCGCAGCCTGCAAACCTTTTAAACCCTTCACGATTGATTGTGTTTACTTCGCATCGCGTTCTTGTGTGGCTTTCTTCTTCTTGTGTTTTGGTGAATACGTTTTTGTGCATTTCTTCGCGGCTTTTTAGTGAGCGGGGAGTTTAGCCTAAACAAAGCGGGGGGGTTGGGGGGGCGCAGCCACCCCCCCAGTTGCAAACCATTTAAATCCTTCACGATTGATTGTGTTTTCTTCGCATCAAACCACCCTGACGCGTTGTTGTCTGGACTTCTCCTTCTTGTGTTTTGGCGATTACGTTTTTGTGCATCTCTTCGTGCCTTTAGTGAGCGGGGAGTTTAGTCTAAAAAAGCGGGGGGGTTGGGGGGGGCGCAGCCCCCCCCATTTCCAAACCTTTTAAACCCTTCACGATTGATTGTGTTTACTTCGCATTCAACCACCCTGACGCTTTTTTGTATTTACAAACCCTTTAAACCCCTCACGACTGATTGTGTTGTCTTCGCATTAAACCACCCTGACGCGTTATTTTCTGACTTTCTCCTTCTACTGTGTTGGCGAATACGTTTTTGTGCATCTCTTCGTGCTAGTGAGCGGGGAGTTTAGTCTAAAAAAAAGCGGGGGGGTTGGGGGGGGCGCAGCCTGCAAACCTTTTAAACCCTTCACGATTGATTGTGTTTACTTCGCATTAAACCACCCTGACGCGTTGTTGTCTGGCTTTCTTCTTCTTGTGCTTTGGCGAATACGTTTTTGTGCATCTCTTCGCGGCTTTTTAGTGAGCGGGAAGTTTAGCCTAAAAAAAGCGGGGGGGTTGGCCCCCCCCATTTGCAAACCTTTTAAACCCTTCACGATTGATTGTGTTTACTTCGCATTAAGCCACCCTGACGCTTTGTTGTATTTACAAACCCTTTCAACCCTTCACGACTGATTGTGTTTTCTTCGCATTAAACCACCCTGACGCGTTGTTGTCTGGCTTTTCTTCTTCTGTGTTGGCGAATACGTTTTTGTGCATCTCTTCGTGCCAGTGAGCGGGAGTTTAGCCAAAAAAAAAGCGGGGGGGCTTGGGGGGGCGCAGCCTGCAAACCTTTTGAACCCTTCACGATTGATTGTGTTTACTTCGCATTAAACCACCCTGACGCGTTCTTGTCTGGCTTTCTTCTTCTTGTGTTTTGGCGAATACGTTTTTGTGCATTTCTTCGCGGCTTTTTAGTGAGCGGGGAGTTTAGCCTAAACAAAGCCGGGGGGTTGGGGGGGGGCGCAGCCACCCCCCCAGTTGCAAACCTTTTAAATCCTTCACGATTGATTGTGTTTTCCTCGCATCAAACCACCCTGACGCGTTGTTGTCTGGACTTCTTCTTCTTGTGTTTTGGCGAATACGTTTTTGTGCATCTCTTCGTGCCTTTAGTGAGCGGGGAGTTTAGTCTAAAAAAAGCGGGGGGGTTGGGGGGGGCGCAGCCCCCCCCCATTTGCAAACCTTTTAAACCCTTCACGATTGATTGTGTTTACTTCGCATTAAACCACCCTGACGCTTTGTTGTATTTACAAACCCTTTCAACCCTTCACGACTGATTGTGTTTTCTTCGCATTAATCCACCCTGACGCGTTGTTGTCTGGCTTTCTCATTCTTCTGTGTTGGCGAATACGTTTTTGCGCATCTCTTCGTGCCAGTGAGCGGGGAGTTTAGTCTAAAAAAAAGCGGGGGGGCTTGGGGGGGCGCAGCCTGCAAACCTTTTAAACCCTTCACGATTGATTGTGTTTACTTCGCATTAATCCACCCTGACGCGTTGTTGTCTGGCTTTCTTCTTCTTGTGCTTTGGCGAATGTATTCCTTGTCTGCGTTCTTGTTGCTGTTACGGGACCGAGGGACCGGCGGACCGGAGACCACGGGACCAGGAGACCACGGGACCAGAGGACCAGCAGACCAGAGGACCAGGGGACTACAGGACCAGAAGAGCAGACGACCAAGGGACCGCAGTACCAAGGACTAGAGGACCAGCAGACCAGAGGACCAAGGACCAAGGGACCACAGGACCAGGGGACCGCCTGCACCAGGGACCCTTGGCCGCACCTCGCAAACAAGGGTTGGCCGCACCTTTGAAAAAAAAAAACCACTGGCCCGCAACAACCCTACAACTTACATAGGGTCTATTTAAATTCAGGGGCGTCTTATCATGAGCGGAGTACTTCATTTCGGCGTCCTGTAACAAAGAAGCTACTACTATAGGGCCTGAATAATTAGACTAGGCTTTTGGGGGGCCATTTTTACTATACTTTTATTAAGGGCCCCCACTCCCCCCCAAAAAAAAACTAATTTTGCGATACTTTCACGTCTCTTGCAACAAAGTTGTCGGGCTTTGGGTCTCCAGTGTTTGGTTCGACTCGGAGAGCTTGAGCGCTGTATACTTCCGGGGTTTAGGTTTATAGGGTTTAGGGTTGATTTAGGGTCTTGGGGTTAGGGGTTTATTTAGAGTTTAGGGTTATAGGGTTATAGGGTGTAGAGTTGTGGGTTAGGGCTGTGGGCTATAGGGCTTAGGGTTCACCAAAACCCCCAAGTTCTCTTTAACAGAGCCCTTATGGTCCTAGTGGGTATTTGGGGGTGTCTTAGAGGGTAGTTGCGGGGTTTAGGGTGCAGGGCTCAGAGTGCGCAAGGTTTAGGGTTTGGAGGTTGGGTTCCTCAAAGGTTATCGACATCAACCGGCAAGGGCTTTGAACATCAGGCCATGCAGCACAACCTGAGGGACGAAATGAACCCTGAAAGGGCTTTAGCTTCAAATACCAAACAGAGATTCATACTGTTGTTGATATAAAACCTGCCCTACCTTAGGACCCGAAACTATGGGAACTATGGTATATTCCTGAGAATGGGTAATGCAGGATCATCAACAGTAGTAGCAGGGTTTAGGACACCTACTGTTAAGGGCCAGGAGATCCTGAAAGAATCCTTAAACTCAAAGCTTGACACCCGGTAGTAGATCTTTAAAAGCCCCGCGTATGCACCACCCCCAAGTCTGGAAACCCTAACCCTGACGATCAATTGACGATCATCAAACCCTACGGTCTCCGAGGGCACCCACAAAACGCGAGGGATTTGGGGTTCAGGGTCTAGGGGGTCATAATCCCGAAACCCTAAACCCCCAAAACCCTAAACCCCTAAACCTTAGTAACCCAACGAAGCTGAAGTTGAACTACTCCAGCAACTCAGTCTCTCTAAAACCAAAGCAACCCAAGAGCCATACCAACCATCCCTTGGGCTCTAGGGGCTCCCTAGAAACCCTACACCAGCACAGAAACACCTAAACAAGCGGTTTAGGGTTTAGGGTTTAAGGCTTAGGGTTAAGGGTTAAGGGCTTAGGGTTTATAGGGCCTGTAAACAAGCCGCCGTAGACCCCCATGCAAGCCCTTATGAAATCAGAAGCCCAATGCCCTACATCTTGCTTGCTGTGCAAGGCACCATGGTTCACGACGATGGCAATCCAGTCGTCGATGGAGGCCCCTCCAAGCCCTAAACCGCCGCGATTCACAGCAAGAAAGCTGGGGCTGACAGCTTAGGGTATAGGGGAACTAGATCAGGGTTCCTGTGAGGGGTTCCGCTGAAGGGTTTCTATAACGGGTTCCTTCAAGGGTTAGTGCAAGGCTTCTAACAGAGGAGCCGAATCAATTAGAACCGTATTTTCACATTAAGACACCCTTAACCGAACGCTGCTGGTAATTGTTCAGGCCTACATATTCTTACGGTTGTTCAAGGTGTCTTTTCGGGTTGAAGGTATGCAGGTCGAGGGTTGAGGATGTCGTGTACGCTGGCGCTTAAGACCGTGCTGCTTTATTGAAGCTTAGTGCTGAGTGTTGAGACCATGAAGCTACCTCATCACCATAAACGTCGAAATGTTCATGCCCGTGTTGAAACTGCTTAAAGCCGGCAGAGCCAAAACGTTGCAGCACGTGCATATGACAGGGGGTTGATAGCTTTTGCGAGGGTATGCATTTAGCCACACGTACACCTTGAAGCCATCAAACAATTAAATGCTGAGCCTCAAAGCCAACCTGCCAAACACCCCCACCCCAAAGCCTGCTGAATCATTAGTATAGGTGCCTGAATAGTTAGAGCGGGGATTTGTGTTACAGTATACTATAATTCTACTTTAGGCCCCTGTATTACTTGTTGAGTTCCCTGGGCCCAACACCCCTCAAACTTCCAGAACCCTAACAACTTCTTCAGAATTCGGGTCTGCAGCCGTCGGCTTACCCTGGGACTGTCTTCGGGGTTGAGGTTTTGGGGTTTAGGGTCTCCGAGACATAGAGCCGGTTCAACCGATTCCGAATTTCATGCTTGGTTAGTGTTTACGTTTCTGTATCCCTAAGGGTCCATGTACCCACATAGCATATACTTTGGGCCCAGTGTACCTAAAAGGGAGCTCTTTATGGCCAATGTATATACATATACTATATGAGTACATGGACCCTTAGGGTATGGCTTCCCATGCTGCACCCCTTAATCCCTAAATCCCAAATTCCCAGCAAAGGTAGGACAGGTAGGACCTCATCAAGGGTCCCAAAAGTAATCATGCACTCTCCCATCAAATACGAACCTACGAAGCCTCCTAAACCTGAGTACCGGAGAACTACGTCCTTTGGACCCTACAAACCCTAACCCGAAAACATCCGTCTATAAAACCATAATACAGACCCAAAACCTTAAACCCCAGAACCCGTAACCATAATAAACCTGAACACGGAAACCCTGATTCCTAGGTCCTTTGGACCCTTTCCGGTCGGTCATCGTCCCGGGGGACGGGCCCTCCATTGCGCCACTGCCCGCAGCCTCACCAATCAAGGCGTCGGCCGGGATGACAACACCCCGAAACCCTAAACCGAAGCAACAAAATGTCGGTGCCTGAATGAATGGAATAGGTTTTGGGGAATGAACCATAAATATTTTGGTGTGCTCAAAATCAAAACCCCAAAAACTAAAGCTTGGAACTGCTTAAGCTTCTCTGTGAACCCTATAAACCCTAGACCCGAAATCAGCGAAACACATCACGACTTTTCGTGGCCTGTCCCGGCTCGTTTCTTTGCTCCTCCCGGGCTGGTTGCCGGAGTATGGTGGGGTTTGAAGGGTTTAGGAGCCGTTTAATGTAAAGGCTCATGAAAGGCATAGGAGGACAAAGAGTGTAGGGTTTAGGGCTTGGTTGCAGTGTTATGATCGGTTTAGGGTTTAGGGGTTTAGGGCTTAGGGTTAAATTTCGACAGGGGGTTTTGTAAGCCCCAAAGCCCCAATGGGTCTCAGGCCGTCTAGTGCCCAAGGCTTCCAGTGTATGATCGTACTTCCCCGAACGGCCAAAGACATGAAAGCCACGCCAGGCATTCAGAGTAGAAACCAAATTAGATAGTAAAAGTGGGAAAAAGTGTTAAAAACTACTTCCAAATTAGGTAGTAAAAGTGGGGAAAAGGGACAAAGATGCTTGAAGAACATACAGAACTCCTGGGTAAGCTCTTATCCAGACCCACTTAAACCTATCTAAAGCCCATATCCCCTTCAAAAGAATCCCCCCCCAAACCCGTCTGTACTCGGAACTGTAACCTGGCTAAGAAAATTCTGACACATCCCTCCTATGATGCGAAATCCGTGCAGCCCATGGGATGCGTCCTCGCCGATGGAAGCGAATGGCAGCAACTCCTGAAGCAACATCGGCTTAGGGCTTGAGGATTGCGTAGTTTGGGTGAACTATGGCGAATCATGTGCCTCACATTTTCTCCAACCTATCGGCAGTATAATATGCTCCTCCACCACGAAGTACCCATTTCATATAGGCAATTTGGACCATATAGCCAGGGTTAACTCAACTGCTATGATTAAGCTACATTGTTTGTAGTAGCCAAACAAGCAGGTTCTGCCAGTGTGAAGCGAAGATGTGCAATAACACGTGTGGTTTCAGATTAATGGGGGGGCAATACCTTCCTAATGTCAGGCAAAATCACAGATCCATTCTCCACAACAGACGCGTGGCATCGAAATGGTCCAAGAGCGTGCCACAATGCTTCGCCAGTACATCCTCGGGATGTCGGTGTTGTGACTTGTAGGGTTTTGACACGTGCAAGCGATGCAATCTCAAGGTTTGATGCTTGTTCGGCTTACGATTTGGAAAATATGAGGGGGCACGATAAGGATTAGTGGTTGGCCACAGTTTCAATGTAATTAGTCGAAAAGTTGCCGGAGCTACATGGAACAGCATCCAACACCCAAACCCCCAAAGAAACCCCCAAGAGCATCCTGTATAAACGATACCTTAAAAACACTTGAAAAGAACTCACGCGCGAACCCCTAGAGAACGTGTAAAAGACCCAAGAGAGCCGTTTTCGAGAACCCCTCACAGAAAACCTTACCGAAGCACTACTGTAAAGAACGCTAAGGGAACCTCCAAAGGTATCCCTCCAAGAACCCTTCACGAGCACTTTAACAAGCCCAACCAGCCCTAAACCCTGAATCCTAAACCCTAAACGCTAAAACCTATATGAGCCCTAAACCCTCAACCTAAGCCCTAAACCCTGAACCATACCCACGATTAAGGGCCATAAGGACTATTGAAGGGCCCTTGAAACGTCCTGATAAACCCTCAACCCCTAAACCCGCAACCCAACCCCTCGATTCACCGAGGTTCCAAGTGGAGTAAGATGAAGGGCAGATGTGGCTCGATCTCATCCATCCGCCTAAGTTAGGCTTTAGGTTTCAAGCTTTAAGGTTTAGGGCTTGAGCGGGCTTGTGGGTTTAGGGCTTAAGCTCCATGATAAGGCTTTAGGGCTTGAGGGTTTAGGGTTGACGGCTTTTCGGGCTTGAGTCTGAGTTTCAGGGTTTAAGGTGTGCCTTCTTGGGCTGTTTGCCTTATAGAGTGCTGTTACATAGTTCTTTGTTTGATTTAGTGTGTCCGATTGCGTATGTGTGTCTATGTGTCTGTGACTTTTTCGGAGATCATGGAATAGGGTTGCCAGGGTTGAAGGCGGGATCTAACTATTTTGTAGAACACCTGAGAACCAATGAAGTGCAGACTACTTGGAGTAGTGCGTGAAAAATACCTTAATCCCTTGCAGAACTCATACAAAAACCTTACAAACCATTGCAAAACCCTCTGTTCATCTTAAAAAGCACCTAAAACAAGATTCGGGCCTTAATAAGAACAGGGTTTCGGGTCCCACTATACTATCATAATAAGAACCCCCCCCTCCGAAAAATAGTATTGGGAACTGCTTCGGCCCCTCTCCTGCGATATCCTTACAATCGACCCCTTAGGAGCCCGAAGGAATACGGTTGATGATATAAGTCCTGCATGACCCATAACAAGGAATGTGCCATAATTCCCATAGTTTGGGGGGCCTTAAGGTAATGCAGGCTTTATACCATCAACCGTAGGAGCCGAGTTCGAGCCCAACAAGGCCAACATCGGAGCGATGCGTGTCAACACCGATCCTGGTACCTCCACATACACAACTGTGCCCTGTGCGAGGTCGGTAGCATGCCTCTCGAAATCATCGAGAGACGATTCAATCGGCCCAACATGGAAAGGGTGTTCCACATGAGTTCGCCATCGTGTAACAGTGGTCGCACTTGTCCCCATCGCTGCAATCACATTGAATGCATTGGACAGAATGACTGTCCATAGATACGCAAATGTGATTTCACGAGGCTGGTCTAATCCCAGTGCCGTGAGTGCTCGGCCCCACGCCTGTGCTTGTACAGCACGATTTGCTGGCGTTATCATGCCACCAGCATTTGCTGTGTAAACACCACAAGCGGCATAGGACCTCTGCAAGATGTCTGCTGACAACGTTCCTGTTGGGGTTATATTGAATGATGAAACATGTGATGAAGCGCGGATGGCACGGTATGCCATGTCACGGCGTATGCGCCCACGAACTGCTATTCGCATGTTCGTTCTCGCACGCGCCTGTTCAAAAGCGCTGCGGCCACATCCTGTTGCTTCGATCACAACCTTCTCACTTAGGAACACTTCAAGGCGATTGGCGGTCAATTGAACATCCGGACTTGCCAGTCTGCTGTTTTCCCAAGCGCTAGCTCACGAAGCCCGCTACTTTCAGCAGATTCGTCTTCTTGCAGAAGAGGAAGCTCAACAGCAACCCATGGCATCACGGGAAACTAATTGCTAATAACATATAGCATATACTTTGGGCCCAAAATACCTATATAAGGAGTACTTTAAGGCCAATGTATATACTATATGAGCACTTGGACCCTTAGGGTTACTGACCTGTAGCCGACATCTGTCCCACGCAGAGAACCCCTATACCGCGTTTGACGCTGTGGTTCGGAGGCTCAGGGAGCACGTCTCACTCTGAGAGGAGATGTACATCCCCAAGGGTCCCAAGTAACCATATAGAGTAGACTGTAGGGTTTCTATGAATTGTCATTATGATTTGGGCAAGTATCCAGCATATCGGTACTTA